CGATGCATTACAGCCGGTAGTTGTCGAATGTCGAACGCATGAAGCGGGCGGGCAAGCATCAGTTTGTGTCGGACTTGGAAGAAGGGGCAATCTTCCTCGTGTCGCATGGCGGTGACGACGTGATTTGCCCGGAAGAGGTGTCGTAATCGCCGATAAAGTTGTCGGTGGGCGGCGTAGTTTCCAGTAGTGGAAACCATGGTCGAATGTAGAACATGAATCGCCACCGGCGCGGCAGAATGGTGGAGACTGAAGCACGAAAGACGTCTTGGGCCCTGGACATGTAGAAAGCCTCGCTGGATCAGTGTTGACCATTGAAGACCAGACTGAAGTCGCTCGGGAGCCGCGCTTCACATGATGAAGCTTGTCGCCGGGCTTGCGAGTTACTTGTAACCATCCGGGCCAACGCCGAGCGGAGAACACGAGATGTCGAGCGCCGTTGCACAACGTTGTCGATTGGGCGTTGATCGGCATCCAAACATTGTAGGCGCGAAGGACCATTGATGTCGATGCAGCTTGGTCAAGGTGTTCGAAGCTTCTTCCTGCGCTCGATGTGTAAAGGTTTGTCGATTGGGCACGAAGATAGTCGCTTAGGCGCGAAGAGCATGTCGAAAGCTTCGCTGACGAGTTGAACATTGACGTAGAGAGCAAAAGTTCCTTGTCGTCATAGGCGCACGGTCAGAGAACGTCCAAAGTGTCGCTTTTGGTGCCGCAAGTCTTCAGTTAGCGCGGCAGACCGCCCTTGTAGTGACGAGTAGCCTGCGGAGCTAGAAGAACTTCAAAAAAAACTTGCGGACTCCAGGGGTCCGGTTTGGGGATGCCGCGTCGCTTTGAAGTCGTTGCTGCCCTGCCGTTGTCTTGATCCGCTGCAACTCGAGTGTCCCTCAGCTTCTGTAGATACTTGAAGCCGGCCTTGTGAAGTTGATCGTGGTGATGGCGGCGGCAGAAGAAGCTTGAATTTTGTGGAGTGGACAGCGAGTTGTCGAGGACGGCGCCAGCGGTAGCTTGTCGGGCAACAGCATGGCTCGTCCGGGGCAGGCAGGCAGAAGGGCGGCAGCAAGTGTCTCAAAGAACGCGATGTCGCCTTCACCGAGTGTCGAAAAAAGCAGTACAAGCTAGAGATAAACTCTAACTTGCATGGCAAGTTGTCGCGAGAAATGTAAAAGCAAAAGTCCAAATCAAAGCATTAGGAAACAATAAGAAACGTGAAAAAACGAATGCTTGCTCGAGTAAATTTGGAGTTTTTGAACGTAAAATCTCGAGCAAACAAAACAAAATTTCAAAATTTCGAATGATATATTCGATTTTAATTTAGGAGATTCGATTTTAATTTAGGAGATTCGATTTTAATTTAGGAGATTTGATTTAATTTAGGAGATTCGATTTTAATTTAGGAGATTCCATTTTAATTTAGGAGATTCCATTTTAATTTAGGAGATTAGATTTTAATTTAGGAGATTCGATTTTAATTTAGGAGATTTGATTTAATTTAGGAGATTTGATTTAATTTAGGAGATTCGATTTTAATTTAGGAGATTCGATTTTAATTTAGGAGATTTGATTTAATTTAGGAGATTCGATTTTAATTTAGGAGATTCCATTTTAATTTAGGAGATTCCATTTTAATTTAGGAGATTCGATTTTAATTTAGGAGATTCGATTTTAATTTAGGAGATTTGATTTAATTTAGGAGATTTGATTTAATTTAGGAGATTCGATTTTAATTTAGGAGATTCGATTTTAATTTAGGAGATTCGATTTTAATTTAGGAGATGTGATTTAATTTAGGAGATTCGATTTTAATTTATGAGATTCGATTTTAATTTAGGAGATTCGATTTTAATTTCGGAGATTCGATTTTAATTTAGGAGATGTGATTTAATTTAGGAGATTCGATTTTAATTTAGGAGATTCGATTTTAATTTAGGAGATTCGATTTTAATTTCGGAGATTCGATTTTAATTTAGGAGATTTGATTTTAATTTAGGAGATTCGATTTTAATTTAGGAGATTCGATTTTAATTTAGGAGATTCGATTTTAATTTCGGAGATTCGATTTTAATTTAGGAGATGTGATTTAATTTAGGAGATTCGATTTTTATTTAGGAGATTCGATTTTAATTTAGGAGATTCGATTTTAATTTAGGAGTTTTTATTTTAATTTAGGAGTTTTTGTTTTAATTTAAGGTTTAGGCATTTTAATTTAACGTTTTCTATTTTAATTTAAGGTTTGGACATTTTAATTTAACGTTTTCTATTTTAATTTAAGGTTTAGGTATTTTAATTTAACGTTTTCGATTTTAATTTAAGTTTTAAACATTTTAATTTAACGTTTCGATTTTAATTTAAGGTTTAGGCATTTTAATTTAACGTTTTCGATTTTAATTTAAGGTTTAGGCATTTTAATTTAACGTTTTCGATTTTAATTTAAGGTTTAGGCATTTTAATTTAACGTTTTCGATTTTAATTTAAGGTTTAGGCATTTTAATTTAACGTTTTCGATTTTAATTTAAGGTTTAGGCATTTTAATTTAACGTTTTCGATTTTAATTGAAGGTTTAGGCATTTTAATTTAACGTTTTCGATTTTAATTTAAGGTTTAGGCATTTTAATTTAACGTTTTCGATTTTAATTTAAGGTTTAGGCATTTTAATTTAACGTTTTCGATTTTAATTGAAGGTTTAGGCATTTTAATTTAACGTTTTCGATTTTAATTTAAGGTTTAGGCATTTTAATTTAACGTTTTCGATTTTCATTGAAGGTTTAGGCATTTTAGTTTAACGTTTTCCATTTTAATTTAGGGTTTGGTTAGACGAGAGTTTTTCGCCCATTTCCCAACCTTTTCGTTGTTTTTCACCAGATTTCCATTAGGGGCGCAGCCATAAGTGGTAGTGAGAATGAGGGGATACGGTAGAGTAATGGAGTGGAGTAATCCCTCCACTACCACCCCCACCTCAATCAGCAGGGGGGAGGGATTGGGGGGCCATTTGATGACAATCCCTAAGATCACCACACGGCTGTATAAAAGGCCCCAAATCGGACAACAATCAGTTGGGTGGTTTTGGAAGGGCAGGTGGGTTTCTGGGCAGTCCTTAGAATTCCGCTTCGATCCTGGAATACGTTTGGTTTTTATTTTAACCTGATTCCTATTCATTTTATAGGTTCTTATTTTTTTATCGCTACTGTCGATTTAATATATGCAATTCCCGGAACTCATGATAGCTTTTTCAGGTTGAAAGTATTTCCCATGGTTCCACCAACAACTACACGACGACCCTATGGAATGGCATTGCAGATTGACGAGTCGGTTGAAGCACGCGATCGATCTAGGGTATGTATCCTATTCGCATTCGAATTTCATCGGCGGTCCTTTTACGGCAATAAGACTTGTAGCCATAATCCTGACAGCCAAAATCCCGATAGACACGAAAATCCCGACGTGCCGAAAATACCAACTACGAAATCCCGACAGAAAAATCACGACCGGCAAAAATCGCGACAGACCAAAATCCCGGCTGTCAAAATCTCGAGGCGCAAAAATACCGACAGCAAAAACGGAGCAGCCCAGCTTTTTGGCATCCAAAATCCCGAAAGACCAAAATCACAACGTGCAAAAATGCCGATAGCAAAAATCCCGATAGGCAAAACCCCGGTAGGTCAGCCTCTTGACATTCAAAAACCCGATAGAAAAGAATCTTGTCGCCGAATCAAAAATACCGGCCGCCGGAATCCCGACAGGCCAAAATCCCGACATATGCTTGACGGTGGCTTGAAGGGATTTCCTTGTGACAGCTATTTTACATGTCAGTCTTGTCTTTTTCTCAACTTGATTGTCGTGATCGTGGCTGTCGGCATTTTGGCTGTCGGGATTTTCACCTGTCGGCTTTCATGAGACTTTTCCTTTTCTTCTTGATTCCCCACGGAATGCGCTGTGTTTTGAGGAATCACGCAAAAAAACCGTCAAGAAGTTCATGGCCAATACTTGTAAATGTCAATTTTTGCTGTTTTAGTCTATAGAAACTCCAGAACCCACTCTAAAATGCTAGAATCACCATAAAATGCCAACAAATATCACCTTGCCGGATAGGCTCGGAAAACAGGCCCAGGACCCGAAAACAGGCCGCAAAAACCTAATGGAAAACGGGGTGAGATGAGTGGATGATTGGGGGGGACTACATCGCCCAATCATGGCCCAGGATTACCCAACCACTCAACTCATTGACTACCGTATACCGGCACTCTGGCTGGGCCCCGGGGTTGGTGCGGGGGGATCAGCTGGGATTTGGGCCTTTGGCTCTGAAATCCCTGCCCGGGGGATTCTCACCCCCGCCTTTCAATCGCAATATAGCACTGCCGCTGGCCGAACGGCCAGTCATTTCCATTTTCATGTTATTTTTGCTGGAATTTCCTTGGAAAATTGAATATCGTCAAAGTCGATCTTTGAGGGGGTACTGCAGCCGAAAATCGTATTTTGCTTGAAAAACTGGACACGAGAGTTGCTTTTATTGCCGTTAGCATGCGTAGAACTACACCCCGATACTAGCTACGGTATGCGCCGCTGTTATTTTGCATTTAATAAGTTATTTTGATGTTATCGAACGCTTCGATATGCGATACGCTTGCCCGGCTTCATAGGTAGTAATGCGTTTATTTATAGGTATTTTAATCGTAAAACAGCTGTTAATTTTAGCCTTTGTTTTCAAGCTTTGACTCAACAATTTCGTCGTGTTTTTGGCTAGTTTAAATTTATCAAAGATCCCCAATTTCGACCAAAAATCGATCAAAATTTCAACCCAGGACATTTTTTGGATTTTCTTCTACTTTAAATATAGTTACATCATGTTAAAACTACTATAAGAATAGTAGCTATTACGTTACTACGAGTTCCTGGACTTTTGGGAAAATTAGCTTCCCCCCCCCGATATTGCGAAAGCACATAGAGATGTACCATTCCAGATGTTAGAAGACCTAATCTACGAGTTCCTGCCAGTCATCGGGTTCGCCATGTGTGCCTCCTCAATCTTCGTGCTCGTCGTCATGAAGGGCTCGAAGGACGCGTTCAAGTTTATCCAATTCTTGGCAGTAATCGGTAAGTTCCTTGCTGCGCTTCTAAAAATCACCCAATTCTAGACCTGCTATCCGGGCTGACGATGGTGTACGCGGGTTTTCACGGCGTCATTCGGACAATTTACGGCGCCGCTGGAGAGGTGAGTTATAAACGGAAACTCAGCTAATAAGGAGCTGTTTTTGACTATTACTCAGCGTAAAAACTTTACAAATTTTTATGATAAAGATAGATTTTGTAACCAAAACTGACGTGTTTTTCACTAAAATTTCTACTTTTACAATTTTTAAAAGTTTTTAGACTGTATTTCTAGTTCAAATAGCGTTATATTTTACTAAAATCACTCATAAAATACTTCCTATTAATTACTAGACATTCTTAGCCCTATGCAAATCATTTTTCTCTATAGTCGGCGATGAATCTAGCCTTTTTTACGAATTACTCGAAAAAATACACCTTATAATAATAACCGACGTTTTGCCATTTCAAAAACCCATAATAAGCCCTACAGACAGCCAAACACGCATCCGGAACGGAAAACGGTGACATCCCTTTCCCGTCATCAGTATATGGCTGAATCAGGCCGAGGGTGGCGGGCGGGCGGTGTCACCCAATCCCGCATCGCGTCAAAAATCCTGTCGAGCTGCGTTTGACGCGTTGCTGCAATGACAAGTGGATTTAGCGCCTGAAATCGGCTAACTGAAAACAAATGACGTGAGAAATGAATGAGTTTCAGTTTGTGCCGCCGATCAGCTGCATGTACAGCTCGTGGCATCTGCCGCTCTGGGTCTTCACCGACGGGCTGCAATCGACGATGCTCATCTGGTTCACGTTGGATCGGCTGCTGTTGGTGTTGATTCCGGTCAGATATGCGAAGGTGAGTCTTTGGTTTAGAGTCAACTTAGTAAGTTAATTATCTAGAAAAAAGCAGACATGGCAATCCCGGCCGGCCTAGCCGCACGGCCGAGCCGCCGGCCCCATTTCCATAAAAACCCGGCCCCATACGAGCCGCGTTAATGACTTACTTCCGGAAACCCGGCTTCCCGGCCCAGCCGGCTTTTTGTTGCGGCCCGGCCAAGCCGGTACGGCCGAGCCGGGGAAACCGGAAGTTGCTAATTTACATGAGAATCCGTTAATCCTATGAAAATTGTGAATGGAATGCCAAATTTCTATGGCGGAGTAGTTTTTCTTTTGCCATAAAGCTAATTATTGATTGAATCCGCAATTTGCGTACCGGAAACGCGAAAATCTCATTTGGGTCCGGCTTTCCGGCTTTTCAAAAGCCGGCGGCTTGGCCGGGGCTCCGGCTTCAAAACATAAAAAAGCCGGGGCCGGACCGGAAGCTCCGGCCAAGCCGCGCGGCTCGGCCGCATGCTAATTTTGCCGGCCGAAAAAAGCCGGCGGCCCGGCCGTTTGCCATGTCTGGAAAAAAGAACAAAAAAGAGCGGTGATATAGTTGTCAAATATTCCAGGTGGCCTCTCTTTACCTGCACAAACGTTTTGTCAACGTCGCCGTCGTCGCGTCGCTCGGGTATCTGTATCCAATCTTCAAGGTAACTCATCTCACAATCCTTATCTTATTAAATTATCCAGGAAGTCCCGGCCACGATCAACAACGCCTCGGCGGTGATCAGCTCCCTCTGCCACCTCGAGGAGGTTGTGGGCGCGGAAAACTACACCCTACACGTCTTGCTGTTCCAATTTGTGCCGATCGGATGTAAGCTTGCCGTAATTCGCCGAAAATATATCCCCTCATCAGGCGTTTTGGTGTGTTTCCTCGCCTTGTTAATCTACATGGTGCGCCACCTGAAGCAACGCTGGTCGTATAATTGGTCTGAGCCGGCGGAGGTCACCCGCCAGGTAACGATTGTAGAATTACTTTGTTTTTGAAAAAGTTCAAGAAGCCAAACCTATAAAGTATCCAAGGCAGCCAAAAAATAACAAATTCCAGCTATTACTCGTCCTCTCAACCCGCGCCTTTCTATTCGGGGTTTCTGTTCATCTACCATTGCTGTTCACCCAAAAAAATGCGGCTGCCGACGACCTCCTCATCCTTCGCGATTTCTTTATCCGGTGAGTTGAGCCTGAGCAAACCGACGAGCGAGCGATCCTACCGGCTTTTAAAAGCAACCATTTCTAGTATCTGCCTCGGGCTCTGCGTCTCCATCGCCTCGCCGTTGCTGCTGATCAGCTTGTGCCCCCAGTTCTCGCACAACGTCTACATGCTGTTCAACAAGTATTCGCACAACACGAAACGCCAGTGGCAAAGTGCAAGTGGGTTTCTGCTCGCAGCATGACTTTACTTTCTAAAAGGTTCCGATTAAACCACAAACTTCACAGGTGATCCCCCACGCGAGGAGGGCGACGGCGACAACAACAGCGAGCCGGGTGGAAAGGAAGACTATGCGGATGCCGTGGTACGTTCTTTCGATGGAAACAGTCGTTTTTCACCAGGTCCTCAAGTCCAAATTCCTTTTGTTCAAATTAACCAAAGCATTCAGGTGAACATGTTCGGCTCATTTTACTCGACCGGCGGTGGCCCAATGGGCGATGTAGGCACGATCACGCACCTGGATCGGGCAAACAACGAGCGGTCCATCTCTTTCTACTACCAGGAGAGCCCAAAAAGCACCGCCAGCAAGAAGCACCAAAACCTGTAAATACGTGTCTATAGTCTAGGTGATACCTAGTTGGTAGATACCAAAGTCCAGGCCATTCTGGGCGGCCACGGATTAGAAAACGAATCTAATTTTGAGACGCAAACTATCCTTGGCAGCCCGCAATTGTCTACACTTACACATACCATGTATTTGTTCTTGAATTCGGGCCTTTAACGTGCATTTACCACAACCCATTAGAACTGTGATCGTAAATTTTATTGATTGAGATGTGTGAGCTATAAAGGATTAATCAGGAAAGGCACATTTTGGGCTAATACATTTGCACTGGGATGAAGGCACGCCGGCCGAAGGGAAGTGAGCGAAAGCAGGGTAAAATTAAATCTATCCGAGGCTAGTAAGATGAGAGAACGGGATTAATGCAAAATCCCATAAAGGCGAGTAGGTTAAAGTGAGTGCGGCTAAAAGAGGGCTTGGCGACGGATAAACGACACAGTAAAGGAGCAAATAGCCAGCTATTTGAAAGACGAGAAATGCGATTGCCGACCCTATTAGGGAGCGTACACGATAGGGAGTCACAGGATACCTGAGTTGAGCAAAGTGAAGTGCGAGAAATTGGCGGTTTCCATCGAGCTAGACGCTGGTCTGGGATGGCGTCGTCGACCTGGCCGTCATCAGCAGGTTCTCGAGTCGGTCCAACTAAAACGTCGTTTTCAACACCAAATCCAGAGCTAGAAGAGTACCTTATTGAGCAAGCTTCGGACAGCCCGGTTGACAGTTGTGTGGATACCGGTCATCGGGGTGGTCGGCGCCGGTGGTTTCTTGCTGTCATCTGCGTCCGCGCCAGCTGCGAGTCTTTGCGGAGACTATAAATCGTATATTTGTAAACAGAAAGAGATATTACCTGATTTTCGTTCATTTCAGCTTCATTCACCTCCATGTCGTGGTCGTCGAGCAGTGGCTGCGCTTTGAGTGGTTCGACAGTGGCTAGCGGACGAGTCGACGATCTGAAAAAGGGCTATAACTCAAATAACCACAGAGGACGAGAAATACAAAGAGGTAGCACTCACTTAACGCTGTTCAATTCCTCCATGGACGATGACTTTTGAGCCAAGCAAGTCTCGAGCACTGCCATCCTCTCAAGCGCGTCGTCAAGCTTCTGATCCGTTAACTGAAAGCGAGCATGATCCGTTAAACCCCTCCTTTCCTTACCATAATAGTGGCTTCTCGAACCCTGACGGCTTCAAGGGCAGAGTCCTTTTCAGATTCGAGAATCATGATGCGCTTACGATTCTTCACACTGTCCGCGGTGAACTGCGCCAACTAAAATACTTGATATAAGTTAACTACTGATAACCAAACCTGTGCCTTCTGCTTCTCATCATTTTTCAGCAGCTCAGTGCGCTCGGCCGTGTACCTCTCCTAAATAATAAGTTGAGATAAAGGCGTATGGCGCAACCTTCATCGCCTCGTGATTTTCCTTCAACGCCTGATGATCCCGCCTCAGATCCGAGTTTTCTTTGCGTAAAGCTTCGATTTCTTGCTCTTGCAGCGTTTCCATCTGAAAGAGTAAAGCTCGAGAAATGTGCGATGAATTATACCTCCTCAGTAGATCGCTTCAGGTCATCGTAATCCTCGTTCAGCTCTTGCAAAAGGATCTAAAAATGAGACTGGACAAGGAATCGGTCGAACCTGATATTGTAGCACTTTTTCGACAAGCTTCTCCGGTGGTAGCTGCGTGAGGGCAGCGCGGTCAAGGTGCGGCTGATTCTCGCCCATCCCTGGTCCTGAAAAAGAAACCGTTATCGGGAAATCAAATATTATAAAGTAAAGAGGCATAGAAGGCAAGCAATTTCATTATGACAAGGCATAAAATAATCGTTGTGGGCCCTTTCCTTGTGATGAAACGATAACGAAATCGCGCAGAGAAAATTCCAAACTGCGAAACTTGTGGCACATCGACCGCGCGGGCAAAGGTCAATAAATTAACGCCAGAGCGTAACTTCGCCACATGACAAACGTTTGTGTATGATGTCGACTATAGAAGGGTGAGCCATCGAACAAAGAGAGAAGATGGAGATTGCTGCGGCCCATCGATCGGGAAAACGGCTGGGAAAGGGAGAGACGCAGACCGGGGCAGCCACAAGAGAACGTCCCATGAGTCATGTGAAGCATGTGCGAAGAAGACCAATAGCACGGCGTCTTGGCGAAAGGGTTGGAGAGCCCGTGGAAAATGGGTTTTCAAGATTATCATTGCCGAATTTATGGTTTGAAATGAAATACGCCATGGGTGTGAGTTTGAAACGCGCGCCAGTTAGGAAGAAAGCTGTCTGTAGAGCACTTTCTTTGAAATCTAAGTTTTGCGGAAACCAAAAAAAATTATGGCAAAACTGGGCGGAAATTGGAACATAGCGAAGTATGGCGGCCTACTCGCCTTATACGTTCGTCCGGGGGCGTCCAGGCGCGTTGTCGACGACGCGTTTTCTAAGATTTTCGCTCTAATGTTCGAAGTTTTAGACTTCTCAAAAGCTACTATCTTTTTCGTGGAAGGCCCAAAAGCTCAGCTCGGAGAACAACGAGATCCAAGCCTTTTTGCAACGTGGTCAAGACGTTTCTGGGCTCGCCGTCATTGGTTGGAGGCACCCTGACCCGAAATCTGGGCAACAAAATTTCCCTGGGTTATACGTTTGTAACATGTTGTTACCTTGAAGCACAGCAGGACATGCGTTGAACCAACGTTAAACATTACAACGTTATAAGGTTGAAATTCCCCTCAGTAATCCAGTTAAAAACGCGCGCTCTCGCGATTTTTATCGCCGCTTCATCCTGGATGTAAACTCAGATTTTCCCTGTGATATCACCACCGTAATACTTTTTCAACCCAATCGTTGTCAAAAACCCTTCCCCCCCATTCCCAACAAGTGCATGCGAGCCTGTGTGGGGAGGGCGATGAATGCGCTAAATGAGGGGGAAGTCTCCATGGTAATCCGCACTTTACCCTAGCCACAACAAAGACCAACCCTCGTCGATTACCGCGTTTTTGCACTTTATTCGAATTGTGGGCCGGTGGCTCGTCTACGGCGTCCATTTGGTTCTGGCCGAATGGCGAATCATTCGGTTCGAATGGCGGAGAGGGCATTCGGAGAACGGTAGAGGGGCCGCTTCTAGTAATTTGGAGGCTTCTGGGGGTATATTTTGTAGTTTAGTGTCTGGAGATGAAAGCATAGTGATTATAGGATGTAGATTTTATTTGGGTACTAAAGCGAAAAGCGTTTCCTAAGCTCGGAGACCTTCTAATATAAATCGAGGGAAAAAATTGTATTTTCTTTCATTTTGCAACTTGTAAAGTTTACAAACTTTTTCCGAACGTTTACGCTTTCTTTTCAAATTACAAACAAGAAACTGAATTGTTTACAGTAGGCGTTAGCGCGTTATTTTTAGAAAAATTTAGGGTGCCAGGAACGGAAACTTCTTAAGCTTAAGCTGAAGAGTTAAAGCCGCACTCCCCAGCAGGGTAAAGAGCAAGTTCTCGACAAGGCCTGTAACGAGGACCAGAGACTGTGCGAGAGAGAGGAGAGAGAGAAGAGTAGAGAGAGAGAGAGAATCCCGGTCTCTCTCTCGTGCGCCATCCCTTTTGTTTGCCCTGGTTCGCGCTTCGTGTATCGACCGACTGTCTGGCCGGCTGATCGCCCCCCGCGACAGGCTACTAAAATGTGTTTTGTTGCCAAGTTTTCTTCATTGCACGGGGATCTTTGATTTTTTTGGGCTAATCATAAGCTAGCATTTATCCCCTAATTACCGCCCATGGCCTGTAATTTTGGTCGAAACTTCACTTGTTGCCGCGCGGGATTTGCGCATATATTTTTGCAGCTGGACAAAAAGTTCAGTGGTGCTTCGAATACGATACTTCAGTAGCTCTTTTCGGCCGACCCTAAGGTCCTAACCACCGAGTTCAGCGAGGTTTTACGATCAGCTTATTTTTCAAGCAACTGTATGTCCCCGGGCGGTAAAATTTTAGGGCAAAATCCCCCAATTCTCTCTGATCTAGAAAAGCCGTTGAGTTCTATTGCGTTATCGGGGCGTTCTAGATAATTAGTCTAGAAGTGTATAGTAATTTAATAGGAGGTATTTCATTAGTGCGTTTGGTAAAATATAGTTTTTTTAACCTTCAACTAAAAAAATTATATAGAACCTTGAAAAGGAATTTGAAAAATTCGAAATTTTGATCAAAGATCCGCCATTTTTGTTGGAAAATCTATATTTTTAATGATTTTCTATAGCAATTTGTAAAGTTTTTGCGTTAGGAATAGTAAAGAACGGTTTAGAAGCACTTCCGCTTTTATATTTGAGACTGGATCCTAAGCAAAAAAAATTGCTCTCCCGATAATGCTTTTAGCTGGGTGCGCAGATCCTCAATTTTCTCTGCTAGTTTGTTTATCATTTTTGTACCACGCTGTAGTTGGCGAATTTATTTTGCGCATAGCAGCATGCGCCTCCTCACAATCAGTTCTCCCTGCTAGCGTGCCTTTTCGCATTTTTGTATCGTTTTTTCGGATCGTTGTACTTGACGAGGTTGTTTTGGGCATAGCTGCATGCTCCTCCTTAATTCTCTCTGCTAGCTTGCCTTTCCCTATGTTAATTTTCAACTTGGTGAGCTTGTTTTTAAGTCACCACTTTTCCGAATGCATTCTTTGCCCAATTAACTAGACTCTAACACGGCCAAAAGCCGCAGCTCGCGATTTCTCATTTCCGCTGCTTTCCAGAAAGCCGTCTACTCCATCCATCCTCGCTAATTATATGTGGCGACTTGCCTTTTCTTGTCTTCTTCTTCTTCTTCTTTTTGCCCCTTCACATTTTTTATCAGCCCCAGGCGGGAGCCATGCGTCGTGTCTTCCGTTGTCTGGCTTTTAGCTGTAGCCGCCCGATCGGCTTCAGGTTGCCATGTTGTTATCTGTACATTGGCCATTGATCGCCTCAAAAAGATAGGAAGTAAAAGGAGGATCCTAAGGAGGAGGAGGCGCTTGTTTTCTGGCTCGCACTTTTCAGCCAGTTCCGGGGGCGCGGCTTTGCAGCCTGGTTCCTCTTGAAGATCGCCCTTTCTGATGACCTTTTCAAGGAGGTCAGAAAAACAGAGCGGGGCCCTGCAGCGATTGGATTATTATGCCTGGGCGATCAATCAGTGATCGGGGGATCTCCCCCTTTGCACTGTTACGGTAGCAATGTGCTCTTGCTCACGTGAACGTGGGCTGGACTATCTTTTTTTTGTCTGGCCAGTCGACTTGCGCGCTTTTTCTCGACTTTTTTTACCTTTTTTAGAGATAAAGAACTCCTAAAATTGTTATAAAATTCTAAACTACTCATGAATAATCATAATAATTGTCGAAATTCTCACCTTTTCGTAAAAAATGGATTAAAATGGCCAAAACTAAAAAAATTTTCGAATTCTCAGACCTTTGAAAAATATTTGTTATAACTTTTTAGCAATTAAAAACACTTAAACGCTATAAAACTATTATCTATTTACAATAGGTATCTTTAGGCGAAAAGTAAAAAATTATTGTCCGCCCCTCGCTAAAAGCCCCCCTCCCCCGCTAACAGTTCAGTACCAAATTTTTCGGTGTTTCTCTAGTCGATTCTTCTACCTATCCAATCCTATGTCTCTACTTATCAAGTAAATTTTCTCTCTCTCTCTCGCTCTCTCTCTCTCTCTCTCTCTCTCTCTCTCTTTGTCTCTCTCGCTCTCCACCCACCATTTCCTCACTGATCCCAATCCATTTCAAAGTTATTCTCCAGCTAGGCCTTCGTCGGGGTGGCCGGGGCGAAAAACACAAAGTGCAGGTCCGAGTATTTATCGTGTCGGTCCAGGGCCTTTGCCGTCTGCCCCCTCCCGATTTCCCCACTCTCTCCGCCCCTTCTGCTGCTATTTTCGACGGCACGAGACCTAGTCCGGTTCACCATCCCCCAATTTCTACAGTATCTTCCCCCCTCACGCTCTATCAATACAGTCCTTCAAACAGGCCAAGGAGTTTTTATTGACGAAAAATCGCTTACGAAATTTTGTTCTTCCCCCGTTTCTTTGTTGAAATTCACCCATTTCCGGTGTTGAAATCCCTTTATTTCGCTTGAAGTTTTGCCTTGTAGTTTGGGGTTAATGTTCCCAGATCTTCCACTACTCGGTAACGCTTTTTTTGCTCTGGTATTCCTGGTATATATCCCAGACTTTTCGCCGCGAAACAATGCGCATACGGCAGCAAGAAGCACCTGTTGACATTCGGCGCCCTAAAAAGTAGTTTGGAGTCGTTCTCGCCTTTAAGTTCGTTTTAAATTTGATATAGTACATATCAGGCTTTTGGTGTTAGAATAAAAAACTCTCGTTTTGCCTAGCAAACTAGCTTTTGAAAATAGAATTTGATAATTACTACCATTTTTCGTCGGAGAAGCAGTGTAAAAATAGTTTATAAATTATAGATTTATAAGTTATAATTTTAATTTGTTAGTATATTGGTAATTATTTATAATTTACAAATTTTAATACATAAGTTTTAAAAAACCGGCGTGTGTTTCAAAAATTTTCTTTTTGTTTTATCTGTGGTGGTAATTGTAGTTGATCTATTAGAAAAGACAATTGGAATCTTTGTATTTTATTATTCTTTTTTATTCTTTTTTCTTTTTTCGTTTTAAAGGGATATACAAGGCAGAACCATGGATTTTTGGGATAATTTTTCGTCCTCGCCACCAACTTGCCGGCCTTTCATTGCGCAACTAATTAAAATTAAAATATGCGTGTCGCGTATCCGTAGCCTTGCCTTGCCCGTCCCTTTAACCCCACCCTCATTTTACAGCCGATCCCCCCATTTTCCCAAGCACTTCCTCATCCGACCTGGCAGCTCACATTTTATTTTGGCCCTTGGCCCGCCTCCCCCTCCTGGGGGGCACCACTGAGTCGTGGAATATCAAATTCCGGCCTTTGGGCCCAGTTTTGTTTACGGGGGTGGCGTGTCTGTGTCGGTCGGCCGTTCCGCGAACCCAAAAGCGAGCCGAGCAGCAGCACCCGACGCCGGAATCTGAATATACGAAAACAAGCGGCAGCCGTCTGGGCCCTCTGTCCTTCTCTGGCTCTCTCTCCCCACTCGCGCTCACTCGCTCTGCCCCTCGTTTTCCGCGTGTAATTCGCGGAACTGGCGTCGTTTCCTTAGACGCCAATTCCTAAATCTGGCACTTTTCGGTGCGTTTTTGAGAAAGTGCATGTGTCCTTTCTGTTCTTGGGGTTTTCACTGATGTATTACTCTTTTTTTGCCGGTCCGTCTGCCTGTCTCTCTGTCTCTCTCACCCTCTCTCTCTCTCTCTCTCTCTCTCTCTCTCTCTCTCTCTCTCTCTCTCTCGCTCTCATTACACTTCCATTTTTCAGTTTTTCAACCTTTAGCCCACATTTTTTCAACTTTTCCTTTTCAGGATGCCAAAACGGAAGCTGCTGGTCGACCCGGCGCTCGAGCACTTCCTCGGAAAATACGAACCCCAGGAAGACGAACTGCACCACAGTCGTACGTTCTTCTTCCGCTTTTTCCTACTTTACTATAGAAATAGGAATAGTAAAAACTAGCTCTGAAATATTTCGTGTAGCCCTATAGCGTAGTACGGTAGAATACGCCTATCGACAGCCATTTCCGGTTCGACTTTCAGTGGTTAATTCGATGCTCCGCCAGCAAGAAGCCACCCAGGGCTTACCAATGTCTATGCAAATGCCCGGTGAGGGGGCAGGGGGTTACGGTAGAATATGTAGTACGGTAGTTTGCTCAAGTAGTATGGGCTGGAAAGAAATAGGTATCATTTTTTACCTTTTATTTCCTTCAAATCAACTGTATTTTAGCCGTGCTCGCCTCATCGCTGGTCCCACCTTCCACCAGCGACAATGGGGGCAAGCTGATCTGTGATGTGTGCGGGGACATTGCTTTCGGCAAGCACTACGGTATCAACGCGTGTAATGGTCAGTTTTTAGTGTGTTTGTTTTGCTTTTTCAAGCTAGTAACACCCGCAAAAATTGTTGCCGTAAACAACCCAATCTTCCCCCTCAAATTCGTCAGCCTGGCGCCCTATTTGTTTATCCGGTGGTGTTTAGAGAAAACTTGGTGATAAACGACCGGAAAATCAATGGTTTTTGCTTTTTGTTATGTGCACGGGCCATGATTAGATTTTACGCATTGTCTTTCCGGTTATTCAGCAGGCCCGGATTAGTTTCACCCTTCTTTTCGGAGGCCTCTTTTCAGGCAAGGAAATATATCTATGACTAGAGGGTTGTGGGAATTGGCCGGCTCCTGTAATTAGTCTATATACGGAGCGGTGGACACGTGCGCGTGAGGGGGCGGCTTTTGGGTGGTAATTGGCCACTGGTGAGTAAGCCTGTTGGGCAGATACACGGGTTACGGTAGCTGTGATACGGTAGTATGGCGGCGAAAATAAGCGGAATAAGGGAATGAAGCTCTAGTTGGTAAAAGCTTCACGTGGCTTTAGATGTGTTCGTGGAAAAAAGTATTAAGGCAGTTCCGACCCGATATTTTGGCCATGCAGCGCTACAAGACCTGCTACCCCGTGTGGCCCCAAAAACCGCGTCGATCTATCTAATTCCACGTTTTCCACAGGCTGCAAGGGCTTCTTCCGTCGTTCCGTATGGTCGCGTAGGCAGTACACATGCCGGTTTGGCGGCGACTGCCCGGTGGTGAAGGAGCACCGGAATGTGTGCCGGTCGTGCCGGCTGAAGAAGTGCTTCGAAGTTGGCATGAATCCGGATTGTAAGTTTGTGCTTTTCATGGGCGCGTAAGCGCGACGCGCAAGCCTATATTTCCATTGCGTAATCTACGATCATACGCGTACGCGACGCGGCAGAGCAACGCCAATAAAATGGTTCTTCTTCCCGATTACCGAACCCATTTAGCCGTCCAAAATGAACGGGATCGGAACGCGCGCTGCGGATCACAAGCCAGGAAGAAGCCGTCAGTGGACCAGCAGACTCAGGTTTGTCCGGTTTTTTAAACCTTTATTTGGTGTTTATTTCAGACGGAATGCACCGGTACGAGCCCCAGCATGCAAACCGCCTACATGGACAAGATGATCAAGATCGAGCGCGTCACCACGCCGTCCGACCATCTCAACGAGGTTTGGCCGAGAGATTCGCTTCCTAAAATGGCTTGCGATAAGAATTTCGATGGAAAGAAGCTCTATTTTAACGGGATGTGGAATTGCAGGATTCCGAGGTTCTTTCGCATGATCGGGGGGACAAAAATTTTTTCTCAGCATCCAATTTTTAAAATGGCTTTTTACTCCTTACCTTATTTTTTACAAATTTTGATTAAAAAAATACAAAAAAATTGGTTTTTTTCGACCGAAAATGGCCGTTTTTGAGCAAAGTTGGACTTTTTGAAAGTTTTTAGCTAGTTTTTCTAGTTGGAGTTTCTAGTTTTTTTTGTAAAAACTTCCTAATCGCCTCTGCTCTAAAAACACCCCCGTATTAAGAAAAGACCAATTCTGTATTGTAATAGGCATTTCTAGGCTTACGCAGTAACCCCAGTCGAAATTCTGATAGTTCGGTGTTTTTCCCTGTAAAAATACACCCGAAACCTTCCTGGATCTCCTCACTCCTAAACCTTCTCCACTCTCCACTCCTTTCACTTCCAGGACCTCCCCACGCCGTGCTCCGTCGAGAATTGCCGGTTAGCTGAGCAGCTGCTCCAGCTCGAGCACCAGCTCACCCACTCCAACAACAACACGGCCGACTTTGCGCCATTCTCCCCGTCGCGCACCGATTTGCCGTTTGAGGTTGGCTTTTTGGGGGACGAAGCTGATCAATCGACATTTAGGTGCTCTTCCGGCGACCTGAACTCGTCTGCTCCCGATATCCGATGCGTTTCAGCGGGGAACGCGTGTTGACCGTCGACTTGTTGATTGACGGTGCGTATCTAACGGATTTTTTTTTGAAAATCGGTACTCTTTCAGGGTGGCGCCGCCATTTCGTCTTCTACTCGGACTGGGTGCGCGGGCTGGAGGACTACCAGATGCTCAGCAAGGACGACCAGGACTGTCTGGCGCGCCGTCGATTGGTGCACCATGGGTGGTGAGTTTTTGGGCTTCGCGCCTAGGAAAACCTAATAAGGTCCACGGCTTGTGGACCTTATTAGGCTTATTTACGTGATTTTCCGGCTCGTTTTTGCTTACAAAGAGACGTTTTTTTAGTACGGTCGGGGTTTCAAGTGGGGGCCCAGACTAACTTTTGTAGAATTTCGCACTGATTCTGAAGATGTTTACCAAATTCAAAGTTTGAAAATTCAATACCAGAGTTTGCGAAAACACGATTTTCCGAAAGTTATGAACGACAAAAGACCGAGATCGCACAAAATGAGCCGCTTCCGATCGTTTTCCCAACTTAATTCGTGGATAACTTTCAGGAAATTGCGATTCTGCAAAATTCGTAGACATATTCGGAATCCGCGTAAAATTCTGCACAACAGCTTAGGACCGAGGAAAATATTAGTAAAGATTTCGAAAACTTATCGATAATTTTAAATCTGAAGCTAATCGCTCAAAATTGGTGAGCGACTTTCGTATCCGATGGGCGCCTAAACAATTCTAATTTTCCAGGATAAGCCATGCCCTCTATTCGGCCAAAGCCCCGGTTACGGGGCTCTGCTTTGCCAACGGCGCCTTCCACCCGTATGGCGACAGCCTCAAATACTACAACCCAGACCCAAAGTGAGCCGTTTCCCCAAATTCAACTAAACCAATTTCTCTCCAGGATCGAAGAATTCTACCGCAACTCGATCGGCCGTTTCGTCAACTACCTGCTGCAGCCGATTCGGGCCCTGGAGGTGGACGACACGGAAATGGTGCTCCTGAAGGCCATCATATTCTTCGCGGAGAGTAAGAAATCGACGGGTCATTGGATAAAAAAAATTTTCAGAGACGGGTCTCTCAGCGGACGGAAAACTGGCCGTCGGCCGGGCTAGGGACCGATACATAAACGCCCTCTATGCGCATATCAGGTAAGAATAAGCATGAAGGACCTCTAGAAAAACTAAATAAACTTCGCTAAATCGAATAACAGTAGGAAACCTTGAAAATTTAGACGAACCCGTGCCGATGGGTCTGCCGCGGCCACCGCTCGGCTCACGCGAATCTTGCTGTTCATGAGTACAGTGACGGTAGGCCACCCAATTTATAAAATAAACAACGCCCTTCCAGAGCCTCTGCCACCTCATGAACGAAAATGTACAAATGTCCGCCGTTTTCTACACGATCGACTTCGACCAACTTATCAAGGTAGGTGACGCAGCCAGCATGGCATTCGATTGTGAGTAGCTCTCTGTCTATCCTTCAAAACACGCTGAATTCCAGGAAAGTCACAACGCGTCGCCGCCGTCGAAATCTCCGCCACCCCCACCCCAGACGTTCCCTCCTTTTTTATCCACAAACCCCAACAACCATCAGCCAAATAATCCCTTCCACTTCCCAGGGTTTATCGAACACGGGATGGTGTAAAAAGTACTGTAAATATATTTAATCACGTTGATTGTGTTGTTGTTGTGCCGTCTTTCTAGCGCTCTTCGTCGCCCTTACGCGAACGTCAATACCTCAAAACCTCATATACATACCCTTTGACCATGTACAGACCTCACCGAAACATATTTGCGCCTCCGTGTGGGACTCGAAATGGGTCGGACATACCAAACCGTGTCCCACCTAGCTTTACACGTGACCTCATATTTTCCTCTCGATAGCGCCTGTGATAGCCGATCCCCGTCAAACTGTGAAAACGCTAGAATAAAAAAGGAAAAATTTTTCGCGGCTCTGCAAGATGAAGACAAACGAATAACAGCGTGGCACACGATAACAAACATGACTAGACCGCCCAGCGCGACGAGAAGCAGAGGAGGTGGGGGCACGACGAGGGGAAAATAGCACACAAAACGGGGGCGTAGAGCATCTATATCCAGGGGCAAAGAGGGCGAAGGCACTACGAGCACTCGATTCATACAGCTAATACTGGAAAGTGGCGGTGACACCGAAGTGAAAGAGTAATAGAAGATTCGCATTTGAACGAGGGACCCGTGGGCGATTATGCACCGAATGACCGTAGATTGGGGTGAGTGGGGGGAGAGGGTGGGGGTATTAGTACAAAATGAACAACGACCGTAGAAAAAGTGACCGCATTGGCATGAACTAATAATGGCCGTTGTGTTGGAGGGCCTCGCGGTAGGAGAGCTTGTCCGCGTCGTCAGCCAGGTCGGATTTCGAGTGGACGCCGGAGGTGCTATCCGAAGAGCCGCCACCGAGCTATAATCAAAACGTCAATTCGATAGCTGCGTAGGAGCCGCTTTTAGATGATATGCAGTTTTATGGTGTAACATAGCTCATTCGGTCCAGCACAAAATGCTGAACACGTCGCATCTTTTCAAAAACGGCACCCCCGGCGACAAAAAAAAAAAAAACATTGTTGTATTTTTGTCAAAAAAAAAAAATTAAACTAACCTTTAACCGTTATAGTTAAAAATTTTGTGAACGCTGAGGGCTGTCCAAAATTTCAACTTCTCTAGACCGAACTATGTCACAGCGCAAATATCTTCGCCGAAAACAGCTTCTTCTCTTACTGAAAATTCTGAAAAAAAATTTATCTACCTTGGCGAGAACCTGCGGACCGAGCTTATGGCGAAGTATGATGGCATATCTGTCGTAGCGCTCAATCTGAAACGAACAATTGAATATTCCAAACGGTCAGCTTTTTCCGATCCAGGCTACACAAAATAAAACCCTCACCTCAGCCGTCAAAAAGCGTTCGCGATAGAAGAATTCGTGAACCACACGCCCTTTCGCATTGATTGGCGGGGCATTCTCGCGCACCGTCTCCAGCTGGTGCTTCAGCGTAGCACAGGCATTCTCGTGATTCTAAAAGGACACAGACATAAATTGAGGCGCAAAGTCCACTGACCTTGACCTGATCCGGGAGGCTAGCCGTCGAAGGGAGCGCGGGTAGACGCGGTTTTGTGAATGAACACGCGGAAACGGCCGGCGGCAGAGATTTGGTGGAGAGCGAGGCGCAGACAAAGTTGATCTCGCTTATCCAGTTGGCAACTTCGACGCTGTCACTATAAGAACAGAAGTACATTTTAAATAAAGAGGCAAAGCTCGGCTTGGTCAGCCCAAAGCCAGGTCAGGTAATGGACACAACCTTGTTTGGAAGAGATACTCCCCAAAATTGGCGGTGCGGAGTCGGAAACAATGTGGTTTCTTGTCGTAGTCCAGGGCTTCGCTGGCGACGGCGTGGTGAAGCAGTATCGTGTTGGAGAAGGTCTCCCATCGAGAGCGCCTGTGAAAGAAAATAAGACCAAATCCATCAGAACTCACTTCTTTATCACTTCTTCACGATCAAAGTAAAGTGCCAAGCCGCGCAGCCGCACGTACCACATTCGCCAGCCCCGTCGTCCGAATGGGGCTAAAGTGAGTACGTAATAAAGTTTCGACGCGTTGGACTCACTTCGGGTACCCTCCGAGTCGTAGAGGCATTTGCGCATCAGCCAGCCAGATTTGTATTCGACTTGGCTCTCGGGGTCAACCTCGGCCAGACGAAGAGCCTTCTTGATGGTTCCGTTGCGCGACAACGTCGTGACGGGCCTAAAAACGGAGTAATAAGATTTAAATAGAAACGTTCAATTTTCGGATCTTGCCAAATGCAATAGAAGGAAAAGATTAGGCACGGGGAGAAAACGTACTGATCCGCTATTATCGGCTTCTGCTTGATACTGTTGTACAGCGCCTTCAAAAGTCGCGGCTCGATGCTAGTCCCAGTTCCGGCGATGTTGTTTACGAATTCCCGAGCAGTCATTTTCTTGCCGTTGTTCGGATTGTGCAGATCGGAGTTCAAGAGGAGAAGAGCGCAAGTGAGCGCATGGACATCATCTAGGAAAAGTTTAGCACGAAAAGCGTGTGCGCACCAGTAGACTTGAACAGCGACGGGTTGCACTCGTAGTAACGCTCGGAAAAATGCTGTAGCAGTCGTTCTCGCTGTGCCGTTTCCCCGATCAACTCGACCCTGAAAGTATCAATGGCTGAATATATTCGATAAGTCACATACCGTGACATGAATTCTCGGATGGCCGCATCGATGCGCTTGCCCTGGAACTGTAGCAGATTGAAGTAGTACTCGGTTACAACACGCGCAAAGTCGTTCCTGAAATTTTTTTTCATGAAAACTACAGAGTTCATAACCGTTAAGAATAGGTTAAATACTCACTGAAGGTCAAGCTGTTGGGCGACCTGCGCCGTCGTATGGCCATTCAAGCAGAAGAGATGGCGAGCTAGTGTCGCTGCTGGGTTGCCGGAATGGTCGAGTCGACCCGCCGAAGAAATCGAGCCGGAAGCCATGGTGCGGATGCTGCAATTTGATAAATAATAAATTTACCGAAAGGTGCCGTAGAACCCAAGAAAATACAGAGAACGAGTCATTTACTGGTGTGACTCATTTCCGTCTGTTATCATACCGGAAAACGCAATGAAATCCGTGAAATCCACAAACTGCTCAACCAACTAACCGATTGATAGCTGGACTGGTGCAGCCAGAAGTGATTGGTGTGACCGATTTGCGCGGCGTGTTCATCACTGCATTTACGGTGACGGCGCTGTCCTTCGTCGGGCTGCCCTTCGCCTAAAAAACGGGGAAAATTGATGCCGAAGGTTCACAGAAAGCGCAAAATGAAAAACTTACAATAACAAACGTATCGGAGCTCGAAGTTTTGTGTCTGAGCTGCGGGTGTGATGAGGTTGGGGCCATAGCGCAGATGGATGTCTGCATCGAGGAGTCGATGCGCTCCCTATAAATGTATGAGTGGTTTTATGAGCGGGATCAATGATTTGGGCGTTCAGATGGATAGATATGGCTAGAAAAGATGAGACATCCCGAATTGAAGCGAATTTGCGGTCCAGAAAACCCACGGCAGCGCTGGGTTGGATTGGAGTGAGAATAGACCACCCCGACGCGATAGAGGTCGCAAATTAGCACATAACAAAGGAGCTGGGAGGGTGGTTGCCGCAGTGGAGGACTGAATTTACAGCGCCCCACGCGGCAGCAGAACAATCCGGTGCGCCACACCCCGACCACAACCGCATGGTAATCGGACCCAGCCGGCTGGGGTCGCCCACCCAGGGGTTGCTCAAATAATGCGCAAGTTTCCGGATGTGCCACATATCCAGAAGAAAAAGCGAGGCCTTCCAAAAATTAAATGGCTATGCCAGGAATTTGTCCTTGTCCTAAAACTCCATAAAACCATCGAAAATCTTAATTTTGAGAAAAATTCTACAAACCTCGTTGGCACTCCTTCGAATGACATTTTCTCTTCGGTTTCGAGGGGAGTTGATGGACCTTGCTCTAGTTCTCGATTGCCATCCGCCTTCTCATTCGCGCGAGAATTTTCCTAAAGTTTTTCGTCAAGCAAAAAAAATGAATCCCACCGGCTGACAATCAACAAGATTCAGTGGAGAAATCACTTGCAGCGTCCGCTCCTCCGAACCTTCCTTCGAATTGGAAGCGACCTGACCGAACTAAAGCAACAATTATTAAAGCCATTTATAACTACTTACATCACGCTTCGGGATTCTGCTCCTCCTGACGGACGGAAATTCGTGGTCAAGCGGACGCCTCGGCGTCTCGGCTATCTGCGAATTCGGCGGCAACTGTTCGCCGGCCAGCTAAACACGAATTCATCAAAGTAAGCCTTCCACTCACCTTGGCATAACAGGGCGAGATGTTAGGCGTGAGGTTGAGGATCTTGTCGCCCGTCATGAGGAAAGCCTCGCAACGGGGACTCCGGCCATCCGAGTTCCGGCTGCCCAGCGACATGCCGGACATCGAGGCGGGCGCCCCGTCGAGCACCTAAATTTTTGTTTAGAAACAAAACTAGTGCAAACCTCTGGGGCTCCGATTGGAGTGTGCGCATGGGCGATGGCCGCCATTGGCCGTTGGGGGCCCTAAAAAGGGCATTGGTGGATATTTTGGTTGATGAGAAGAAGGACAAGCACACTTCAAATTTAGGAAATAACAATGAAGCCCAAGAAATCACAAGAATTCCAGGCGAATCCAAAAGGAGCGCTATTTGGAGACAACCGAAATTTGAACGGCGTGTTGAGGAAAACCCAAACGACGTGCCGCATTTTATGTCCTCCCCGATCAGATCTTCGAGCCTGGCGAATCGGAGAGGGTGCGCTATATAATAGGCCGAAAAGGTCGGCGCATTGGGGTGGGGTGGAGAAGCGAGGGTGGTGTGGCTGACCGCTAAGGGGCTAATGAAGGCCCGAGCCGAAACGGGAAGCCAGGCCCCCCAAAGGAATCGAAGCAACGGCCAGATGCACGTCGTAAATGACTCGGGCCGCCATGCGACAACCGGATCGATCTGGTTTCCCCGAATGAATGGCATTGAGTATGAGAGAATCTCTGTTCAAAACGAGAAAAATCTTTGCACTGACCAGCAACGGTGAGCAAAAGTCGGTAGGATCGAAATCGATGCTGGAAGTAAGAAGTTCAAGCGGGTCAAAATGTTTTATGAGAGCAAAAGTAGTTTACTAAGTTTGAAATTTTGATTAACATCAATAACTACAAAACCATTCAACCTATTTCAAAGCGGGGCGGTGCATCCATGATAAAATCTAGCTGTAGTTGCATGGTTTTATAAATTTCTTGCAATTATCAGAGCAAATTTCGAAGCTTTTGCAAAACCTCAAAAAGCAAAAAGTAGCTAGCAACATGAAAACTACCTAAAATCAGGATAAACACCGCGAGCCCAGGGTAAATCTATGTATTGGGGTAAGCGAGCTGTTCCCTCAACCCGAGTTTATGCATATCCGATCCGATGTGGTGACAAAGCGGGCGCTGTAATACAGCTGTACACAAGGGGAGGGGACGCGCCAGCCGTTGACCGCCCCAATCGGCCGCAGATCGCCAAAATAATTAACAACTCACGGGGTCACTAGGCGGAAAATGCCCCCATAGCAATTGCTTCCTAGACCCCAATCAATCGAGGAATTCAGCCAAAAGGATGCGAAACTGGCTACAGCCCAAACGAGGCCCTGCGGGAGATCACGGCGAGACGATTCGCCCCGTTTATTTGACCTTCGGCTGACGGGGCGGGCAAGAGCTGGCTTATGAAAAGCTGTCAAAACGCAGACCATTTCGCAGCTGATAGGGTGCGGCGGAAGTCGAGGAATTGTAAAAATATAGTAAAAATTGATAAAGGTAAAGAAAATAATAAAAAAATTAGGATAAAAGTAGTATAAAGAAAAATAAATTGAAAACTTATTTCCGAGGGCTACACGAAACAAAAAATGTACGGTGGAGCGTTCGTAACATTTGAAAATAGCGCCGTAACCGATTGCTCCACAATTTTTTCTGCAAAAAAAGTTACTTTCATTTTAATTTTTTTAGGAATTTCGCAAATTGGAGGAATCGATTGCGGCCGAAATGGATAGCGAGCGGCCGTTGCGCCGTGCAGTCGAACTGACTAGGATTAATGGGACAGGCACCACGGCCCCAGGGATCCATACGCGAGTGGGATATGGGCAAAAACCCCATTGGGGTCGGGTTGAAGCGCAACACGGCCCGACTCTCACATCGATCGGCCCCCCGAAAAGGCATCTGAGCCCGTCGCCCGATGTTCCGGCGAAAAGCGCGAGATTGTTTTGACTGGGAGATGAGGGTTACGGGCACCATGATCTAATCGATTCGTGGGGGGAAACTCGGGCGGTTTGTTGGTAAATCCGTAAACAGACCAGGAAGGGGTATCAAGTAACGTTCGGGCGACGTAAACAAGTATCATTTCGACGAAAGTCAGATGCAGTTGCAGCCTTGTTTGGGATCAGTACTCACTCATAACACCGGTTCATCAGACTGTTATGGAATTGCAGCTTTTTGTTCATCTTATCACCTATTCTAGTTCCTCAAGTCGGACTCATTTTTTGTAAAGGTAAAAAGGACGCTTGGGATCGTGGTAGGTGCCAATACCAAAGGCTTTTGTGATTTATTGGGTCAGGGGCCAATAAAATTGGCTTCCTAGGCCCTGCTATCACTTCTCTCTTCCGTCTTTCCCGATCGCCGCGGCACGCTTTTTCCTCTCGTGTCTCGTTGCGGCCGTTGGGAGTATTCCCTGGTCTGCAGCCATCAAGGGCCCACCTTGCGTCACATGTTCAAGCCCCAGGCTTCATTTTGGAGCAATTTAAAACCCACTTGCCGTCTGGATTAGCTCCAGAATTTTTGGATTTTTCCCACCAATATTCTTCCCATTTTTTTCCGTTCTTGGAACTGGTCTAACTAATTATCTTTTTTTTCAGGCCAGCAAGGGCTCGTTAGCCTTTATATGAAGATACGCCCGATTGGTCCATTCCCTGCATGGCCGTCGTCGAAAAGCGCGTTAGGCATCCTGGTGATATCCGAAAGGTAGGCGGTTTGTAATCTTTAGTTATTTTATACTTTTAAAGCGACACTGAGAATCTGTCTTTAGTTTGCAACCGATCTCTTCGTCGGAGGTACGTCAGCGGCCGTTTCCAAGACCGTCGTAGCCCCGATCGAACGGGTAAAGCTTCTGCTACAGGTGAGCCTCAATTTCCACTGGCTTTTCGCTTCCCTTGTATTTTTCAATACTCCCACTTTTTTCAGGTACAATACTCGCATAAGGACATCTCATCGAAGCAGCGATATAACGGTATCATTGATGCATTTGTTCGCCTGCCCAAGGAGCAAGGTTTCGCCTCATTTTGGCGAGGTAATACGACCAATGTTATGAGGTAACCTTTCTAGCTCCTTATCTTAAAGTTTTTTTGCAGGTACTTCCCCACACAAGCTCTCAATTTTGCCTTCAACGATTTCTACAGATCCCTATTTCACAAAGGAATCGACAAAAGGGTAGATTTTTAAGCTTTCGATAGCATACATAATTTTAGGACTTTTGGCGACACACGTCATGGAGTCTACTAGCAGGCGGGTGTGCCGGATCGACGACCCTCTGCTTTGTCTATCCACTCGATTTTATTAGAACTCGATTGAGCGTCGATGTTGGCAGAAGTTTAGAAACACGAGCTTATAAGGTAATTTTGGTTTCATTTCCAGGCCTAACGAGCGTTTTAGGGCTTTCGGGATTGTCTCAGCCAAACCGTCAAGCAGGATGGAGTGGCCGGGCTCTATCGAGGCTTCTTTATTTCGATACAAACGTATTTCCTACATAGGTAGCGTAGAATTGTGAAGCTAAAGAATACACATTTTAGGGCCGCATATTTTGGTATGTATGATGCGATTCGCAACCTGACGCACACCAACCCAAAAGAAATCCACTTCTTCTCATCGTTTTTGATAGCTCAGGTAGGGTTTGATTCGAATACGATATTTCGGCTTAGGGAGTTTCGATTTGTTCTGCCTACTTGACGTATCCTTGGGATACGGTCAGAAGAAGGATGATGATCAAGGTTTGCTCCGAATTTATCCTTCAATAATATTTTAGGGAGAATTAAGCTCCAAGCATGCCTTCGAGAGCGCCAGGCTCATCATTGCCCACGAAGGTGTCAAAGGGCTCTTCAAGGTAGTTTCCCTCTGTTCTTCCAAACGCTTCTTTAGGGCGGCCTGGCGAATGTATTCAGGACCAGCGGCGGCGCGCTTGTAATGGCCATCTACCACGAGATTCAGAAGCACCTTTAGGATATTATTTTAGCGTTATTTTTTGCTTTTTTCACACTGCACTAGCACTTTTCCCGTAGGCTTAATAATAGGAACTGCACTCCGTTGTTGATATTTTTGCGCTTATATACCCTACACCTGTAATTCTAGTCGGTTTCCGCCCGTGACCAGACAATGCAAGCCGTTTGCAGACATAATCGTAACGAGCTTGTTAGGCGTTCGATTTTTTTGCCCTGATCAGCCTTGCGATTCCGAGTGTCATAGCCGCTTTCACCTCGATTTACATACCGTGCTTAGCGTCGTGTAGAGATTCGCCTTCATTTGCTCACGATTTGTTGCCTTTTCGTACTTTGATAAAACATTTGAACTGAACGAGATCACACTAATTACGTCTATATCTTTCTGTTACTTGCATGCCATTCCGCAGTGGTTTATTTCATTTCACTTAGGACGCTGGGCGGCTCGGAGACTGGATGGATGGTGGGCGAGAAGAGCACAACGACAAAGAAGCAGATCAAAAAGGTATTCTTCTTTTCTAGTTTTGTTGCATCAGCTTTTTGGTAGTTCGCTCGTGATATACTCGCTGCCGGAAGTGCTGCTACCATCTCGAAAACAGCTGTCGCTCCGTTGGAACGGGTGAAAATCCTGCTGCAGGTTAATTATGACATTGGAAAATGACCGCTTGACCAGGTCCAATACTCGCACAAAGACATCAAGCAAGGGCAGCGCTACAAGGGAATCCTCGATGCTTTGGTACGGGTGCCGAGAGAACAGCGATTTTGGTCTTTATGGAGAGGCAATGCTGTCAATGTTGTTAGGTGAGCGCTTCTTTGCAACGCTTTCAATCATATTTTATAGATACGTGCCCACCCAAGCCCTGAACTTTGCCTTCCATGGGTATTACAGCAGCCATTTCTTGAAGGGGATCGATAAGGAGGACGTATGAACCCACATTTTTGCGAAAACTGTATTTTTAGCAATTCTGGCGTTACGTTGGCTTGAATATGATGTCCGGCGGATGCGCTGGAGCGACAGCGATGGCCGTTTCGTACCCACTTGACGTGGTGCGACTTCGGTTGAGCTCGGATGTGGGGCGAGACGTGAATAATCGTCAGTACAAGGTATTGTTTCAGGAGATATGTTGAATGCATAACCTAAATTACGAGGTCATCGTTTTATTCGTTGTAGGGCGCCCTGGATTGCTGCAGAAAGACATTCCGAGAAGGCGGGCTCCGAGCTCTCTACCGCGGGTTTTTCGTGTCAACGCCAGTGTATTTTGTCTACCGGTAAGCCTATATTTCTTCCCTTTATCTTCTTTAGTGCGATCTATTTTGGGGCCAACGATGCTATCCGCCATCTGTACCACCGTGATTCGAGGAAGATCAACTTTTTGAGCACCTATCTCATAGCTCAGGTTTGGTGCACATTAATGAGCTAATCTTTGTTCTCAGTCGGTCTCGATAGCCTCCTCGCTAGTGGTCTACCCTTGGGATACCGTCCGGAACCGAATGCTCATCAAGGTCAGCAAACTGTCATGTCTCGAAAATGCATTTAGGGCGAACTCGGCTCGAGCAGCGCTTGGACCGGCGTTAAGAAAGTCTACGTGAAGGAGGGTTGGCGCGGATTCTACAAGGTTCCCATTCATTTCCATACAGAACCCCCACTTTTAGGGAGCCCTGGCCAACTCGTTCCGTACCTGCGGCGGCGCCCTCGTCCTCACCTTCTATCACGAATTTGAGAAATACTTTTAATTTTATGCTCCGTTACTTTTAATGTTAACTTCGTCGATTCGTTTGCTTCTCAGAATGCACTTGTCCAAGATCGGGTTCTATCTTCATTCGTGTTGTTCCGGTGCCTTTAATTAATCTGATGACTTGACTCGCACATAGCATTTTTTGTTTAATAAAAATTTGGCTTCGATCGGCAGCAAGCATTGACAGAAGGGATTCCAGCATGATACTTGGGAAATGGTTGATTGAACAAAAATTAACCGGCTGTTTAGGTTTCTTCCGTTTCAAGGTTAATGCAGAGAAATTTACGGAATGAACGGTACGTTCGTTGTCTCGGCTAAGGGTTCCGCTTCAGATGCCCTCACGGCTCATAATTTTATTGCTCATATGGGTGCCTAGCGACGTCATCTCCCGAAATCCGTTCCTACTAGGCTATGAAGAAGCCAAAGCCGTCGAATTTTCAGCAGGCGAAAAGGTAGAATGCATCGTACCATAAGCATTATTTATTCATTTGAATTATAGGAGAATGCCAGGCGGCTTGCGAAGGAGATGTTCTATTTTGGCTACGACAATTATATGGCCTATGCCTGGCCGATGGACGAGTTGGATCCGATCCACTGCACCGGGCGAGGACCCGACAGAGAGCATCCGTTCGTTTTCATAGCCTCCCCGAAATTTAGATGATTCAGTGAAAATATCAATATTAACGATGTGCTCGGCGACTATTCGCTAACCCTGATCGATTCTTTGAGTTCATTGGTGGTTTTCGACGATCCCGACGAGTTTCAGGTGTATCAAAAACTCACTTTAAATGCCTTTTTTTAGTCTGCAGTTAAAACTGTTATTAGCACCGTCTCGTTCGAGCGGAACTCGACGGTACAGGTCTTCGAAGCGACGATCAGGTTCAGTTTCGTGATGTTGTTAATAAGGACCTTTATAGGGTCATCGGTAGCCTCCTATCAGCCCACATGTTCGCTTCTTCATCCGCCACAGGACCGTTCTCTCGCTTCGTGATCCCCGGCTACCAGGGCGAACTTTTATCGATGGCTCATGACCTAATTGGGCGCTTGATGCCTGCTTTCGAAGGCACACGGACGGGTTTTGATATTTTCAAAGCCGTGAACTGTTAGTTTAGGGCTACCTTATCCGCGCGTCAATCTAATCGATGGAGTTTTGCCTGGAACGATCAATGAGACCTGCACTGCAGGTGCTGGCAGCTTACTATTGGGTTGGTTATTAGAAAGAAGCGTAGCGGTGCATGGCTGCAAAGTTCTTCATGCCCAATTTCAGAATTCGGCATCATATCACGTCTCCTTGGTGATGATACATACGAGCTGATGGCGAGAAGGATTAACGAGCGGCTGTGGGAATTGAGAAATCCCTCAACGGGATTGTTAGGTAAATTTTTTTGAGAAATTTGACGAGGGCATCATTATAGGCAATGTGATCGACATCCAGACGGGTCTCTGGAAGGGCCATTTGAGCGGACTAGGGGCTGGCCTCGATTCTTTCTACGAATATTTGTTAAAAGTATGGCTTGTGTTATTTTATTTGAACACCTTTATAGGCATTCATAATGTTTGATGAGCAGCGCGATCTGCATCTTTTTAATGAAGCCTACAAAATAATTTTGGAAAATTTGCGGAGGGGAAGGTACGTGCATTCTGGAAAATCTTATTAAGACCGTTTTAGGATAAGTTGCCGAGGGGAAGGAGAACCGCCAATTTATGTCAATGTTGATGCTCGTGATGGGAGCACGTTGAACACCTGGATTGACGCACTGCAGGTGAGGATTGTTTTCTATGCATAGTTTTGAAATTTAGGCATCATTTGCTGGGGTTCAAGTGCTGGCTGGCGACGTGGAAGAAGCAATCTGTCATCATGCTATCTATTACGCCGTCTGGAAGAAGTACGGAGCGCTTCCCGAACGCTTCAACTGGCATCTGAAGTGAGTGAAACTTAATCGAGACAAACTAGAATATTTATACGCAACTATCCTTTCAAAATATTTTTTTAGGGCACCGGACGTTTCATTCTACCCGTTACGGCCGGAACTCGCTGAATCCACCTATCACCTCTATCGAGCGACGAAGAACCCTTTTTATCTCCATGTGGGACGAGAAATTATGGAAAGCATCAATGCCAAAATGAAGGTATGACAAAATCTTTTTGACAAGTTTAATGGCTCTAGGTTGAATGCGGTTTCGCGACTGTGCACGACGTTTTTGACGGTAGTCTAGAAGATCGCATGGAGTCGTTTTTCTTGTCGGAAACAATGAAGTACCTATATTTGGTATGAATTACGCGCGAGGAAGCATTCTTTTCGTGGCAACAGCTTCAGAATTCCCAGACCATTCTTTTTTCAGCTCTTTGACGAGACGAACCTGGTGAATGTCCATGGGGAACGGCTACTATTTTCTACCGAGGGCCACATCTACCCGATTGACGACCGATTCCGGAAGCCAGCAGATCGTATGCGACGCGAAGATACGAGCACCAGGTTGGAGATCTTCGCTAAAATATGTCTCAAAATAAATTCTTGAGGTTTGAAAAAGTAAGGAAAATCTAGAAACAAAATTTTCCATTTCCAGAAAGAAACCGGTGAAGCGGATCACCGGCGAGCAAGCGCGCATCATAATCGAGACCCACACGCTGGTGAAGAAGAGCGACCCGGTGCCCGGTTATTCGCGACCCGCAGGTTCGTAATTTAACTGGCTGTTAATGGGGGCGGGGGCCTTTCCTCCGCTTTTTTTTTTTTTTTTTTTCCTTCTTTTCCCCCCCCCCCTCTTCCCCAATTTTTTGTTTTCCCTAATTTTTTTTTTTTTTTTTAAATTTTTTTTTTTTTTTTTTTTTTTTTTTTTTTTTTTTTTTTTTTTTTTTTTTTTTTTTTTTAGGGAAGACATAAAGGCAAAAAACTAAAAAAATACTTTTAAACCCTTTTTTTTCCCCCCTCTTTTTTTCTTTTTTTTTTTTTTTTTTTTTTTTTTTTTTTTTTCCCTTTTTTTTTTATTTTATTTTACATTATATTTTTTTTTTTATTTTTTCCTCCCTTCCCACCTTTTCTTTTCCCCCATCCATAATTTTTTTTTTTTTTTTTTTTTCTAAATTTTCTTTTTTTTTTTTTCCTTTTTTTTTTTTTTTCCACACCCCCATTATTTTTTCGCGGACCGGCCCCCCCCCCTCCCCCCGCCCCCCCCTTGGCCCTTAAAATTAAAAAAACCGATAAAAACTAAAAACCCCCCCGGGGTTTAACCAAAGCCCTCCCTCACTGTTTATACGTTCTTTAGGATCAATGTTAATTTTAGGAAATGTCTCCTGTGAATTCCCGTCCCCCATCAGCAGACACTCGCCTCCACTTCCGCTATCGCTATTCGCGCAGCTCTTCCAGTCGGTCGGCATCTCGTCCTCGATTGAATACTGGTTCCCCTAGTCGTTCCTTATTTTTTTTTATCACACTTGTTGCCCTGTTTTTTTAGTCATCGCCTAGCCTTGTGCCTTCCATTATCATATCCTATTCCTTTGCCTTTTCCGTGGTTTGATTCGTAACGGTTTTCTCGATCCTGGGATATTTTGTGCAAATTGTCATTCGTTGTGTTTACACGTATGGGTCTTTTGCTGTGATTGACGAGCCAAACATATAACTTATTTTTTGGTTGTGATATTTTGTCAGATTGGTGATAAAGATTCTATGGGATTGTCGTGTCGTGGTATATCTTATTTGAGCGATTGTCGCGCTTCTTACTTCTGGCACTTCTATACGGTGAACAATCAAAATTTCTTTCTAGTGACTGGGCGATGGCCCAGGTCGAGCTCGGATGGCGGCGCTTCAACTTCTTCGATAAGTTTGTGATTAACGACCCGGAAAAGCCGAACGAGAAATTCCTTGGGTTGAAGGTTCGTCAAGTCTCGGAGATGTATATTTCGACTTTCAGGATGTCTCCGTTGAAACCTACGCGACGTTGGGGGAAATTGTCTGCCTTGGCGAAGAGAAGGGAGGCATTTTTCGCGTCACCAGGTGAGAAATTTCCTCTGGAGTACATCGCTCTTTTCAAGAGATTTCAAGGAAGACTACTGGCGCTCCTACCAACACTCTCTATCGCATTTGACGGCCGTCGGCTCGATCCTTCTCTCTGTCGGGGTAATTAGATACCGAAAAAAAGGATACAGTAGTTTTTAGGAAGATGGGCCTTCCGATGGTTCTCAACTCAAGCTCTGGGACACCACTCGTTTTGAGAAAGGGTTACCACCTGTTCTCCGGGCAATAAGGTGGCTTTGCGCTTCGTTTGATTAACAATGTTTTTTAGAGTAGGCCACCCGCAGGCCGGTACTAGCACCTCCTGCACAATGGTTGCGGCAGAGAGCCATTTGCGGGCCGTCGCTGTCGGCTTCCACGACGGTACCGTGGCGGCGTACATCGGCGATGTGTTGAAAGATCGTGTAATCACCGTTTCGCTAAAATTATTTCAGCTTAGGCGGTTAACGGGCAATGGTTGAAGGTGCGCGAGTCGACTCCCCAGGAAGGCGCCATCACTGGTCGGTCTTATAAGTAGAAAAAAATTTGGTGGATTTGTAGGGTTGGCTTTGACGGCCATTTCTGATTCGGTGTTTGTGCTGTTTGCCCTGACCAGCCGGATCATCATCAGCTACGTTATCGAGAACAAAGTTGTCGTGCAGAAGGTGCGTTTCGGCGGAACCTTGATGTAATAAAAATTTAGCAACGTCACAACTTGATGAACGGTGCCTCGAAAATGTGTTGGGCGTTTGATGAGGGCAAAAAGGAGCTGATTGTGGCGAGTAGAGATGTACGTGCTATTTTGCCTTTAACGGCGTCAGGCAAAGTCACGGCTTTTACGTTTGCTTTTAACTTTGGGCCTACCGCAATAATCATAGGCTTTTCCAGCTCGTCTACTTCTACAGCGCACAACAATGTTTGGAGCCTGATGGTGCCGAAGGTCGCTGCCATGCCCTCGGACGGGCACACGATACATTGCAACTTGTTCAAGCGGGCGGATACATCGCCCTTGTCACGAAACAACCGGCTATAATTCCGTAAGACCGTTCTCACCTCCTTAGATTATGCGCATTTTAGAACCCCGGAAGCCGAGTGGATGTCCGTCGTGACGGTGTACGATGTCACCGACAAATACATTGGCTTCTCGTGCTCACTGCCTTCTTCTTGTACCCTATTTCGACTAGATGAAACGATTATGCTATTGAGTGGGTTTTGCCTTCATTATCGAACTTTTGTCCCTCGAACTACTACCGCAAAAATCGATCCTTTTCAGGTAAAGATGGCTCACTGTCCAAATTGATGCCAAAACACCTGAATACCAGATTGGAGCTGTTATATCGCAAGAACTTCTACGATGTCGCGATTAGCCTCGCCGAAAAGAGTGAAGAAGCTCGTGAACGTTTGCCAACAATCCGAGCAAAATACGCCGATCATTTATACGAGTGCGTTTTTATGCTCTTTACACCGCATCGCCGATATTTTTAGCAAGGGTGACTTCGCGAATGCCGCGGAACAGTACAAGGAGACTATCGGCCACCTCGAACCGTCATACGTCATCAAGAAATTCCTCGACGCCTCAAAGATTCAGCAGTTGTGCACGTATTTGGAGGCTCTGCACGCGAAACGCAAAAATAATACGCATCACACGACGATCCTCATCAACTGCTATGCGAAAATGGGTAATTTTTTTGATGCGTTCTTGGTTACGTCTTCGATTCCAGGTGATCAGGCCAAGATCAAGAACTTTATCGAGAAGCTGTCACCGGAGACTTGTGATTTAACTAACGCAATTAATGTAGGACCCGTTTTTAAGCAGCAGAAAAATCTTTTTTAGGTGCTTCGAAACTCTCGGTTGTACAGTCCAGCCTCGTATTTGGCGGTAAAGCATGGATTGCATGGTGCTCATTTGCGGATGTTGATCGACGATCAGGCTAAGTACGACAAGGCAATTCGTCACATTGCCCATCTCGATCCGCTGCTGGTGAGTTTACCTCTACGTTTGATTAGTCAAACACTTTTAAGGCAGCCGAATACATTGAAGAACATGGCCGAACACTCTTGAAGGCTTTACCGGAAGAGACGATGAATTTAATAGTTTCCACTGTTGATGCCGTCAAAGAAAGTAATCAATATAGAAATTTCCTCATATTTTCCTTAGATTTCGACCCATCCTGCTTCCTGAAGCTTTTTGTCACCGACCAGGAGAATAGCACCAAATTTATCCAGAGCATCATCGACAAGGTAATTCCTTTCGTTGCCCTGCTTTATTTTTAGGTATCTCCAATTTGCGCCCACTCGCTGACCAACACAGTAATCGAACTCCATATTCGCGCTTTTATGAAGCCGGGGAGGAACAAGCTGGCAAGTTCCGGCTCAGGATTCATAATCAATCTATTCAGTCAGAAGATGATCTGATTGCCGCCGTATCGCCACTGATCAAAGCTGACAACGTGGAGCAAATTTTGCAATTGGCCCAAATGTTCAACTGCGCCCCGTTGCAATTGTACATCCTGAAGAACCGGTTGGAGTAGGTTGCGCTCCGTTTGGCACAACGGTTCGTTCAGGCGATCCGACGAGCTCGTCCAATACCACATCAAGCAGGGCAACATTCAGGATGTGTTGAAGCGGTGCAGAATCAGCAAGTAACCGTTAATATTTTTTTAATCGGATTTTGCCTTTTCTAGGGATCGCGATCTCTGGTTGGAAGCGCTCGTCTTCTTTGCCCAACTTAGCCAACCGATTGAGGATCGTGTGCTGAAGGAGCTGTTCGATTCGTAGGGCTCATGGATTTACTCCTCAAACTATTGATTTAGATTGGCTGCAGATGATCTCATTCACCCGCTTCTCGTGCTCGAAATTTTGTCGAAGAGTGAAACGATAAAGGTTCATTTGGTCCTCTAGCTAGAAAACGGCTGTTCCAGGTTTCGTCGGTTCGAGATTACGTCATTCGCTGGCTACAGGACCAGGAAAGAAAGGTGGGTGATGCCTTGACAAAATAAACGAGGGATTCTATCAATTTACATTGGAAATGTTGCTTTCCAGATTTCGGATGATAAGCGAGCCATCGCCGAGTGTGAAAAGCGGATGCTGGAGGTGCAAAACGAGACCGAGCAACTTCAATTCAAGTGAATCGCCATTTCTCCGCGAAATCCTGATTCTAGGGTCCAAACCATCCAGTCGGCCAAGTGTTGCGCTTGCGCGACGGCGCTCCAGCTGCCAGCCGTCCATTTCCTTTGCAAGCATAGGTATCATTTTGGCGTTTGACTTTTCGAGGACGCCATTTTACAGCTTCCATGTACACTGCTTTGAGTCGTACGTCGAACAGGGGGATAGCTGCCCGGCCTGTGCTACAAAATATGCGACAAGCGAGCAACGGTACGTTTTTTGCCTTGGCTTAGCATGGCTTTGGATTTTTGCCAATGGTAATTTATGCCTTCAGAGCCGAAGAGATGCAGAAGCTGCTGAAAAAGAAGGCGCACCACGAATTCCGAGCACAGGTGCTTTTATTAATGGTTGCGTTAATTTCTTGTAGCTGCAATCGAGCTCGGACGGGATGCGCGTGGTGGCCGACTATGTGGGCAAGGGTCTATTCACGGTACAGCCCACCGTCTATCACCAAGCGCCCGGATCTGTGAGGGTGAGTATCCGGACCCGTTTTCCGCGGACCCCGAATTTCCAGGCGAACCCCTCGCGATCGACCGACAGTCCGCGCAACAACAACCCATTTGAAGATGACGACGCCGACGAGAAGTCGTCAAATACTCCGAGTTCTGGTGAGTGATTGATCTCCGGGCTCAAAATGACCGTTTCCGGCGGCGGTATGATGCGAAAAGAGCGAGTGCTCTCCGGCGCCAGTTCACTACGCGCACCACGTGCCTACAATCCATTTGACGAACCGACCCCGACGACTACCGGAAATAACCCCTTCGACGATCCAGCTTCTCCAAAGAAGCTCACCAAAACCAATAATCCATTCGATGACGAATAACGATCGCTCACCCTCTTTCGCCTTACCACTTTGTGATACGTTACATCTGTTTTTGCTGTGATATGTATGTAATCTCGTACGAGTGTTTGCAAATAAGCCCTCCAAATAAATCATTCACAATTTACCCGTCTGCTGCATCAATCACAACAACGGCTGCACGCCGAAAACAAAAATTCAACTGTTAAAATCACAGACGGCTTTGAGCGGATAGCCAGAAGTCACAACATCACAAATTAGCATTTGCAGCAATACATTATAGGGTTGGAGGCAAGTCGGCGGGTTTGACGGGCGGCTTTTTACCGCTCGGATCAAAGAGAGGTTCACGCAGGAGCACCGCCACCAGCGAGCTCCAGCCTGTGAAGGGATGACATCCAGAGCCCTCGCCTGTTACGTCGTTGTAGTTCTCCCAGATGAAGCCAGTACGATCCAGCTCCTAAAAAAATGAACAAGTCGAAAGTGCAACAACAAACTTTACCTTAGCCATATTCCTGATGATGTTGGCCCGAAGTTCGTTGTAGAGCCTCTGGGATAGTTGGGCATACTTGCTCGATTCCCAGGCGTATTGTCGCAAGGCGGAGAGCACCTGAAGAAGGTAAATATATTCCAGATACAAGCTACCAAGTAGTTCATGTTGATCCAGATATTCCCACGCCAGTACGGCGGATCATGCTTCGTATTACGCGCGCGGTAGTATGGCGAGGACTTGGAGATCGAGCGCAATCCGAATTCTGTCCAGAGATCCTAGAAAAACAAATAGAATTTAAGCTTACCGCCCTCACCTCAGGATCAGAAATCCGTCGCAGAATATGGTAGTAGTAATCGGTGTCAACTGGAACAGCCATGATGATAAAGGGGAAGAGACTGTTGTATCCAAAAGCATCATCGACGAGGCCCAGGCGTGGCGCTTCATGCACGACCCTAAAAAGTATTTTATGAAAACAACAAAAAAACAGTAAAGCTCCTAAAGCCACGCTGGAAACCTACCGCTCCCATTCCACATCTTCCGGTTTCTGGCCGGGCTTTGGAGGCAGCGGCTCTAACCTGACGTCCCGGGAGTGCATGCCATAATCAAAGAAGGCCTAAGGAGGGTTAACAAGGGGTGTCAAAGGGCATACCTTTTTCTCATCGCTCCAATGTTTTGCGATAATGTCGTCGATATTCGAATATTCCCTCAGATAGATTTCAAACCTAAAGGGTGAAGGTAAGCGATCCGCATCGGCGAATTTAATTCATGCCCAGAGACTACTTACTGCTGAACGTCTGCCGGCTTGCCAAACTTGCGGGCGAAATCGATCATTACATTGCTCGCGAGGGCCATCCAGCATCGTAGGTCCAAATGGTATTCCTAAAATAGGGTTTTCTTCCAGCCACGTTGCTTGCCTCATCAGAAGGGTGACTGGCTCGAGGATAGTCATCAAACCCGCTGCCCATCGTCTTCGGATTAAGCTCGCGGGCCGTGGTACCGTTGCGGCCACGCCAACTGAAAAAGTATTCAATAGTCATAAAGGCCAAACCAACCGGAAAGTATTCTCTAGGGGCCCAGATTGGGACGTGCGCAGCCACCTAAACCATTCGGAAAATTTGGGGTACATCCGTCTCGATATGCCCTCATTCGCATGGAGCAACTAAAAATTGTGTGGACAAAGATAAAAGCTACGAACCGGGGCATGGTGCATGAGCGAACCCATGGCGAAGAACCAACTAGGGGGATTAGCAACAGAATCATCCTGAACCAGGTACTCCCGAGGAACCTAAAAACCCTTTGAACGGCAATTTTACGAACGAAACCTTCATTTCGGCTTCCAGGCCTAAGGCTTGTTCACGCGGAATCCATCCGTCCACATTCATAGTATCCAGCCAACTGCACATTATCTGAGAAACATATAATTTAAGCACGAAACAAATTGGCACAAAGTAACAAAGACATTTGATATCACAGGAATCCTGGCGATAAATAACTGTAAACCATTCATACCTCAAAAGCCAAAGTTGGATCGAATTGTTGGATGACAAGATTATGGAATCCCTCGTCCCAAAGGAAACCACGTGGGAAGAAGGAACGCGATGGGACGGCAGTAAAGAGGGAATGCGGTCCATATTTCTCTACGCTTCGCTCGCCCCAGTACCTAAACGACACCTAATCGTAAACGAAGGAAGACGGGCCCACCGGCGTCCCACCACGTAGCTGGAACCGTACAAGTAGGAGACGCTGCCCAACATATTTGACAAGGCCACGCGACCAAGCCGTTTCTCCTTTGCGGTGTAATTCTAAACGATACGTCTGCGAGGGCAAAAAATTGCTACCTGGCTATTCATCAGGAACCTTGTGTCAAACTCCCGATCCCAGTTTTTCTCCCGTTTGGCCAGTAGGGACGAGAAATCGGCTGAAACGAACTTTTGTACGCAAAACGCTCCGTCTGGGCAGAACATCGTCCGCCAAATATAGCGCTGGACCGAAAAAGAAGGCAATATACCTGTCGATACAAAAGGTCCACGGGTCGTGTGGAAGTTCAACGTCACGTTGAACTCATGGGGTAAATTGATCTTCACCACGGCGTATTTCGGCCGATCACCCTTCACCTTCTGTATCAACCTTGCCTCACGTCTCCCGTTGTCTTCGGCGGCCACCTAACAGAGTTTCAAACGCGAAGCAAGGGTAGTACCATTTCATTCCAAAGCAGCTCTTCATCGTAAAAGCAATTCAAATCTGGCAACGAGGTTCCAGACACCGTACTCCACTCGGCCCAGATGGTCATATCAATTTGGTAGCCGCCAAATAACTTCGTGAAGCCGTAGATGCCCGTATGAGTGCGGAGACCGAGCTCAATATACGGTTCTAGCTGGTCGTTCCACCGGGCCATCTCATCGTCATCCTAAACTGGGTATTATGACGCACACATTGCACCCAAGCTCACCTGGATTGCCATGTAGTAGAAGAGGGAGACCCGCCTTGAGCTGTCTTTCTACAACAGGATTTTACGAGTCAAAGCAAGAGCGCTCACATGCCGGCCCAGGACACGGACCGTAAACGACTCCTTTTGATTGACCCAATCCGTCTTCAACGTCAGGTCGCCGTCACGCAAAACTTGCTTGCCGAAGGAGCGACTGTCCGCTTTTTCCCAGGCATATCGAATACCATCATCTAAACATTTCGATGAGAACAGAAGCCGTAAAACTTTGATTGCAACGGTGTCGGATATCGGTCCGGTCGTGGCGCTCCGGCTGTACATACCACATCAGCCCAAATAGGGGCGATTTCGGCTGCTTGACACGCATCCCCAAGTATTGCTGTGGTTGGAAGGTGCCCCAATCATACTAAAAAGAATCCTCTAATAATACAAAAAGCCTCACCAGATTCATTCTCACATCAATGGGAGAGGACATCTTTTTGGTAACCCTCAGCGCCATACCATTGTAGATCACTAAGGCGAAGACAGCAATAAGCGTGGTACTAAGCGCTGGAATACAAAATTTGAAGGGTAGTCAAAGTAAGTTTACTATATTTCATCGCCTGCGCTTGCCATACGCCGTCTGTAACCGTAGCACGAATACGTTGGTAGGTTGTCGGGCTTGGGGCGCGTTTTGGCTGCGCTCTAGGGCTCGCATGTTGTTGTTGGCGCTGCGGGCCTTTTCGCCCACGCCCCATCCTAAAAAATCACTGTAACCGAGAAGAACTTTTCCACGACCAGCCGGAAATGTTCAAAAGCCAAAAGATATATTTGAAGCCATTTGTGTCTTTTGAACATGCAACCTCATGAAAGTTACAGTACCAAAAATAGGGCAATCTCGAAAGGAACTCCCCAAGGCCCCCAAAAACCTCGTTTTTTTTGTAAATAACAACCTCTGCTATTCAATTTTCTTAATTAAATCGAGGATTACTTCCAAGGGTGTTTCGGGGCATATTTTCCAGATTGCCAAGGTTTTCAGATCAATGCGCAGCAGATCAAAAAAATTCTGGACCAAAGAAAAATTAAAATCGCAGTCTTGTCGCAAAATTCGCGGGGCGAGGGCTTCTTTCAGCGTCATGGTTATTAAACAGCGACCAAATGAACGTAGCGTGCGTCATTTCGGAGCATCTCGGATTTAGGAGCGTCTAGAGTAGCGAAAGGTAGTGTCGAAAAGCCACGATGGATTTTTGCTTCTACTACTCGCGGAATTCGAAAACAAAATAAATTTAAAATGACCTCCTTATGAGTTTTTAATTCGTCAAATATAGGTTTTGGACGCTGGACTACCAAAAGGCTGGAAATAGCCATTGACTTCCCCATTTTCAGCCCGGATAAATTGATACAAACTTTTTCCCGTCGGCATCGCCCATCCGTCGCCGTCGTCGCCGGCGCTTTTGAAGCGGTGCTTGGGACGCTGCCCGGGGTTCTTTTCGTTACGTGTCCGGTTGCTGGGGCAGCTATTTGATGTCCCGCTTTGGGCCCGGGAGAGCGGCTGCCCGCGTCGCGGCCACTTAGTAATCTATTGAAGTGGATGCGGGAAGGGGCTGTCAGCCATTCGTTTGTAAACTGACAAACAACTTTTATTTTTGCTGGGTTGGTGACTGTGGCGACCCTTATTTAACGGCTTTCTCTTGCAAATAACGCCATTTTCTCTTAGAATATATGGATTTTGGGGCGTAAGATAGAGGATGGCGCGAAAAGGCGTGAATTTCGTGTTTCCATGTCTGTTTCTCAAAATTTGCTTCTCGATTATATATTACCAGCAATTGACGTTCATTTAGGGGGGTAAACTGCAAAGATGGCCGGCGCGGAGTGCACGCTTTCTGAGGCTGACAAGGTGCGCATCGCCTCGGACTTTCTGCTCCATTCGCCGCCCGGCGAGTTCAATGATGTGAGTTGAATTTCTCCGCGAGAAAGATGACGGGTTTTTTTGTAGACGTTCAACTCGGTGCGCATGCTGCTGAACAACGACACGCTGCTGAAGGAGGGCTGCGCGCCGGCTTTTGGCCAATACAACAAGGAGCAGTTCGTGCCGGTGAAGCTCGACGGGATTGAGCGCCAGGTGATTTTTTTTGTCGGTAGCTACTGTAAGAGCGTTTGACAGGGTTGTTTGTTGTTAGAGATTTTAAGACTCCTAAACGGCTTTAGACGAACAAAATTCATTATTTTTTAATAACAAATTACTTTTTTATTTACCACAAGCGCCCCCCCCCCACCTAACCCAAACCCCTAACACCATACAAATCTTTACTTTGCATTCGCACGTTTCTCCTCCTGATGAAAAAGAAGAACCCCCCCCCCATTATAGGCCCCCCATTCCCGCCTATCCAAATTTTACAACAAAAACAAATTTAATCTAGATCACCTAATACCCCCCCCTACACACACACACACAAACACTATTTTTTTTTTAAGATTTGCCGGAATTTTATCATATTTTTAAAATTTTTTCCAAGTTTTAGGAAGGTTACGATGCGCCTGGGGGTGCCCTACTAAAACCGGGGGCCCCGCTAGCGTTACGAAATTGCATTCACACCGATAAACAACGATTGTTTTTCCAGACTTTGATCACTCCGTTCAACGACCTTGGCAATGGGCGCTTTGTGGATGACGCTTCTAACAAGACGTTTCGATTCGATCATCTAAGAAAGGTAAAGATTCGACGAAATACTTCACCTTTTACTCCAGGAAGTCAGCGATGTTCAGCCGATTGAACCACTCGAGCACACTGTGGAGCTCTGGAGAAAGGCGCTACAAGCGGTTAGTTATTTCAAAAGTAGGCGTAACACGGCCCTCGCTCAATATTACCGTTTCTGGACGATAATCTGATTAAACTCATCCAATTAATCCTTATCTAGTTCTCTCTTTCAGGAACTAGACGCCTACGTAGATGACCACTTTGCGCGCAACGGCGTCGGCTGTGTGTTCGCCCGCAACGGCAACATTGTTGTTTGCATTGAGAGCCACCAGTTTCAGCCGAAGAATTTCTGGTTTGTTGTTTTTTCGTCTGCTTCATTGCAAAATTTAGCAATGGGCGCTGGCGCTCGCACTGGACGGTCCCCGTTGGGGATGGGAAATCCGGATTCCAGGAGCTAAATGGACGCGTGAAAGTGCAGGTATTTGCTTTTTATCATGCTTCGTGGAATCTGAAATAGGTTCATTACTACGAAGACGGCAACGTGCAGCTGTTTTCTGAGAAGGAGATCTCCACGAAGGTCCAGATCACGGTTCGTCTTTTCTGTGGTTTTTTGTTTGCTGATGATCACTACGCGAAACTTTGTAATGTTGATTTCCGGAAAACCGTTTAATGTGCCGGTATATGGAAAAATCGGCAATGTGTTGAATACGATTCGTTTTTTTTTAACTTGGAGGTCTACTGCCGTTCCTCAGAGGTGCAAAAACATTTTCTTTTAGGCCGATTTCGAGAAAACTGCGAAAGATGTTATGGCTGCCATCCTGAAGGAAGAGGCCGGCTACCAGGTATTTTTTTTTGCCTTTTGTGCGAAGTACAACCCCATTTTAGCAAGCGGTCCTTGACAACTACGTGGCCATGAGCGACTCTACTTTTAAGGTATTTTTATCTTCGATTGAATTGCTGAATAACAATTTTTTTAATATGTTTTACCGCAATTTTGTTTATAACTAGCCGAGGCCTTTTTTATGTGGAAAAAAATCTCGCTTTCGCAATAGAGGAGCGGAATTTTAATCGAAACACGGCACGTGATTTTTTCATTTTGCAGGCACTCCGCCGCCAACTGCCCGTGACGCGATCAAAAATGGATTGGGTGAAGATTCCCGGTTACCGCATCGGCCAGGACATGAAATAAGCCCTATCTACAGTTTACACGGCCCATGTGAAAGTCCTTCACTCCCACCTGCGCCTCTCATTAATTTTGTGCACCAATTTTTCTTCCTTAACCCGTTAAATTATTACAATTATGCAACAGTGACAAAAACATTCTCTCGCTCTTTTCCTCCCCCACATCGTCTCTTCTCTTTTTTTCAAACGCTTGAGCTTTTCATAAGGATATTGTGCTTTACTTGTACGTGCCTCTAGATCATTAATTTATTCGATTGTGTGCATCGTATCTCTCCTTCGTTTTTTTTCGCCCACTCTTTTGCTGGCAGCAAGTAGCTGTGTATAAAATTTTTCCCGGCCGCTGCCCCAGATGTGTGTCCGCAATTTTCGACTTTGTAGGGGCGTTGGCCCCGCCATCTTTCCGCACATAATAAACATATTCTTTTTAAAAGATCGGCCTCTTGAAGGGAATGTCCATTGACTTTCTGAAAGTATGCTATTGACACGGTCATTGTAATATTTAGCCTTCATTTAGCACTTGACATTAAAATTATTATTATTGTAGGGTATATAACCGATGCGAACGATCCGAACATGAACGACACGGCGGCTTCGGACAATTCGACACTGCTCAGCGATATTCTCGGCTCAAACGCGACCACTTCCGGCTCCACATCTACGGTGGGTTTTCTGAGCGTGAGGAAATCATAGAATTTAGACTTTGTCTACGACAACACTCCCGCCGTCCACTACTACGACGCTAGATATTGTGGGTTTCAGCTCGATATTCTCTCATTAGCAGTAAGAGGCTTGGTTTTTTAAATGAAATTAAATTTCAAGAGAAGGCCATATCAGATCTCATCGACGTCGATCCCTCGGCATGCGGACGGCTCCTCTGTGACCCTGTTTCTCTTCTCATTCGTCCTATTCATTGTGGCAATCGCCCTCATTGCAAAAGTGCTGATCAGCAAAAAGAAGCGGTAAGGAGCCGTTAAATGCAGTGGTATATTTTCAGACGTGACATTATCGGCGGAACGGCCCGGTGGAGGCTTTCGGCAAGTTCGCAGAGCGGTGCGCCGATGCAGACGAGTGCAGCCTACGCGCCCGTCAACGGGCAACGCGCCCAAAATTTCCGGTGGGTCTCGTGATAGCAGCAGGCTATGGGAAAGCCTTCTGACGCCCAAGGCAAAGCTACTATCACAAAGTCTATAGGAATCCGATGGACGCCGGTGGGGGCGAGAATCGCCTGGATTGGGAGCGCCAATTCTTCGCCGACCCTGACAACTCATCGGTGAGTTCCAATTTATAATCTCGAGGTGACGAGGCCGAAATTGGCCCGATTAATTTATTTAATCTATCGTGCGTTCAAGATGAAAAAAAAGAAGGTTTTCTAGATTTTCTAAAAAAACTAATGATCTTTTCAAACCTCAGGTCAACGTCGAGACGTGATTCAAGGTTTGTGGGTGTTGTTATAGTCCGAAATTTGTATGACCAAGAAAATTCAGAAACATTTTTAATCCATGTTTCCAGCAAGAACAATCGCGACTACGGCTGGATTTCAACCGAATGTAGCGACGTGAAAAGCCAACAGCGCATAATTTTGTGTTTACCAACGTAATTTATTGATTCCGATCGCTTGCTCTTGACATTCCTGGACGCCTGGTGTTTTCTGGATACGTGTCGTTTCTGTATTTATTGCTCTGCGTTTATTTCTCTTCCTTTTGACGATGGGCTTGGATGTTTAAGCTGGAGCTTGCAGCCAGCAGATAAAAGTTGTGTGCTTTACAAATCTCAAAACTCCGAAATGCAAGTATTTACGAGGCGCGTAGTAGTAGTTATTCAGTAGTTATGCCTTGTTAAGGATGACTACATTTTATAATATTTATTATTCTTCATAGACATATATTTGTCAGGTAGGCGAACAAAAATCTTGGTAAGATATGCAAATTTCGACCCGGGAGTTGGAATCTGGGAAGCGGGGGAGGGAATGGTGCCTAGAAATGCTAGCGAAAGGTATCTTATGAGAGCCGTGGGGTGGAAAAATGGGTTCTGCTTCGTTAGCGGGGAGGGATAATTCGTAACAATTTGCCGATTAGGAGAGAGGGCTGGCCGATATTCCACCCCTCCCCCCCCCGCTAACGAACCAGAACCAAAAAATCAAGATTTATTTGTACAACTCGGCTCATCATTTCAAATGAATAGTGATCTGCCAAAAATCGTAAAATTAATACGGAAAGGTCACCAATCAGTGAATCATTCAAGCTGAGGAAAATGGTCATGAGGTTGAACTCCAGATAAGCCCCAGCTAGAGTTGTGTAAAGTAGACCCAAATGTTCGCTAGAACAAGACGAACATTTTGGTGTACTTTACACACCTGTAGACGAACAACGAGCCGATATACAAAAGTTGAGGGCCGGCTGCGGGGTGGGGGGGGTGTTGGAGTCTTACTCCCCTTCACAGTGCATGTGCGTTGCGTGACGCGGTACCGTAGGAATCTCTCGCAACCCACGCCCCCCTAAATAATAGTCTCTAGGTCCCTGCTGCGATGTGTCGGCACCGGGCTGGCGGCGCCGGGCTGCTTGAAGGAAGCGGTCCGGCTCGGTGGTCTCCGGGGTGAGCGCGAGGCGCTGCGGCCGCTCAACGGGGCGCCCGGGGCCACATATGGCCTTGAGGGCTGGCCAACGGTGGGCCTAGATTGGGCGGAATGCCGTGTCGGGTCCCGGCGCGGGGGCAGCGGACTGACAGAGGCCGGCGTGCTCGTCGGGGTCAGGATCAGACTGGGTCCGCCTGGGTGTCGTGGCTCGATCGCTGAAAAGGGTATTGAACATGAAATTTTGGAGCAGGAGGAGATCGAGATTCCGAAATACATCAAGTGTACGTTTAGGTTTTTTTGGTAAATCAACTCACATTGAGACCGTGAGAAGCCGCCGGAAGTCGTGCCGGCCCTTCTCGTGCTCCCCGGCCGACTTCGGCGCCCGTTCGGCTTGTTGTGCGGCTGAAATGGAGTTTTGGTACTTTCGCATTATTGGGGGGAGGGGGTGATTTTTTTGTATAAGCCCAGGAATTCCTAGTAACGTAATAGTAGTATTTTAATAGTTTTTTGTAAGATATTTTAATGATATTTCAAATGGAAAACTATCTAAAAGGCTTAAAAACGCCGAATCTCTGTCCGCTTTTCGTTCTCGCATGTTTTAAAGTTTTTGCGTTTAAAAATAGTGAAAAACAGTGTAGAAACACTTTTTTGATTTGTGTTAGAAAAGTAGGATACCAAAAAAAGTTTAAAAAGCTAAACAACCGTAATTCTAAATTATAATTATTACAAATTTATAATGCCATTTTTAGCGTAAATTTAATTAAAACTAAAATCATCTCTAAATCATTCAATTCGGAAATTAAGTAGTTTCATTAAATTTAAAAACCCAACCTGAAACGAGCCGCCCTGAGTCCAGAATTTGCTAAACTCTTTCACGGCTCGATTGGTGTTTGTAGAGGCGGTTCTCCGCAACGCTCCAGTGTACGGGGCTGTAAATGGGTGTATTTCGGAAGGTAAGGGTCTCGCTTTACCACTTCCTGTCGCGCGCATCGATCTCCGATTGTTGCCGCTAAATTTGGCGGCCCGTTGCGTCGACTGGCTCGTACCCATTTTGAGGCTAGAATTTTTTTGCGTGTTTTGAGAGGTTTGAAGTGCTTTTGTAAACTTGAGAAATGAATAACTTATAGGAATGGACCGCTTGGAATGAAAGTAGAGCTTGAAGAGAAGCTTACGGCAAAAACAGAACGGTCTTCAAAACCCGTCATGTGAAGCCCAAAGTAGTGAAGACCCATAAGTTTCAACCCGGAAACCCAGACACGTCCGGGAAAGCCCGACGCCCATAAATCGTCCCCCAGGTGGAATATGAAAAAGGCAAAAAAAACTACGGGCTTTCGTGCTCCGCCGAACACCTAGTGGCGTTTTTTTCTTGGCCAGGAAAACCATGGGTTTCAGCTCTCGAATTTCTGGTACTGGGCTGTTAGCAGGGGGAGGGCTAATTTCCGTTTTCCGTCTATTTTCTTCCTGTTCCTGTAATTTCGTTTTATCGTGTTGTTATTAGTTTTTGATTGCTAGAAAGTTATGAAAAACGTTTGAAAATGCGGAACTTTTTGGCCATTTTTCATACATTTTCGACCAAAAAGTCCAAAATGTTCGAGAATTTTAATATTTTCTTTTGATAAACTTTTCATACTGTAAAATACGATAAAAATATTCTACATTTCGTTATAGGGCCGTGCGGAATTCCTGGGAAAAATTAGGCGCCCCCGCCAACAGTCCAGAACCAAAATGTCTAGCCAGAATTAAAAACCACAAAAATAAAAATGCACAAAAATCCGGCCCTCGCCTACCAGCCGCCCCAAATCAATTTGCTGGAGCTGGTGCGGGGTGAGCGGAAAGGAGAAGATGTTTTCTGGTGGTGGAGGGCCCATCTGAAGGGATGGGGCATCAGGAATGCTAATCCGGATTTGTCCGCCACGGACACGAACGCGCTTTTTTGCGGATGCGCTTCGGCCGCGACATGCCGGCGGAAAAAAGCGGCGAATTATGCATTAGGGGAAATGGGTGTGGGCCGGAGAGCAGATTTGTGAGAGGGTGGATCTGTCTGGAACAGATGCCCATCGCCCAAAAGTGACGCGCCGTTTTTGGGTCATTTATTTTTGGGCAACATCGAGCAATTTATGGTGAAAACTGAGTAACGAGTCTAAAAATGCCAATCCGTGGTCAAAAAGTTAAAAGATATAAGAAAGGACCATTAAAACGTACTTTAAAAATCTTTTAAACCATAAAACATACTTTAAAACGTCCAGGGTTGCATTGGGGTGGCAAAGTTCAAGATGCCGGCCGGTATTGCATTTTGTAAGCTAAAAACTCCCAAAAATACTTTTAACGGGTTAAAAAGTTAAGTTATGTCGAAAGAACCCAGTAAAAATGCTAAAAGACCCACTTTCCAGCGCAAAGAGTATCACTGCGTTGGTTAGTTCAACAACGCCGGGCTACTTTGGGCGGGCTATCCGTCCGCCAGATTGCATTTTGCAAAGTTTTGCCTTGGATAATTAAATACACATTTTTCTTGTCTTTAAAATTTTTCAAGTTCCCTAGATGGTTTTTTCACTGGAAGCTAAATTTTAATAGAAAACACCAACAAGCGAATGGTTCTTTCTATGCACATCCTAGTTCTACAGGAAAAAGTTTGTTTTCAGGGTTTTTAAAAAAATGCCATAATGTGATAATTTAATATCCCTTTAAACAAAGAATTTAGGCTAAGATCTCGCCAGAAGAATTGTCCGAGGTTCGTCGAGGTCAAGCCCATCAAGACGCAACCCATCGCCGGCCCATGAAAAATGGCCTTTGATGCCCCAAAAAACAATCCCGAAAAAGCGGGGCCCAAAAAGAGGGGGGCTTCTGCCTCAATCGTGTCGGGTCCATTGCGGACCCCTGAAGGACCCCTCCGCATACCCTGATTCCACGCCGAATATTGAAAAACACGGCCACACCCAGCGCGGCGGGTTCGGATGAATTTCCGCTCCAGAAAAAAAACACCCGAAAAGGCGACAAAAATCCGTGAAGGGGAATCCGGGATCCAGTGTCACGCCGTCGGTGGCGAGGGGATAATTGCTTCCGGAGTTTCCATGTCAGCCGCCGGCGGGCCGCCCAAAAATTTGCCGGTTTTTTTGGGGGATTGTCTATTTTGGGGTGATTCCGGGAACGTTCCGACAAATAAGGATTCCTCCGAAGGTACCAAGGAAAAAGTTGAGACTAATGTTTCATGGACGTCCTGTCCGTCGGACCAAATGCGTGATATCGACCTCTTTCTGAATCCCCAGCTAACGGCTATTCTTTGCTATCGATTTTTTTCTTGGCACTCGGATTTTTCGATCCTCGCTACCGAATGAGGCCCATATCGCTTTTACGAGTCTGGAATCTTTCTGGCTATATGGCCAAAATCCAAATCACGTTTTTTTGAAAAGTGACCTTTTTAAATTTGTTCGTCTTTGAATTTTAATAGCCTTCTTGCGCCGTTTTAGACTTTTGCTAAACTCATTTGACGCCCCCTCCTCTTTCCGGCCCCCCACCTATTTTGTCTTGGTTCTCCTGTTCTGCTACAGGCTTTTAAAGTATACCAAAATGCTCCTCAGACCAAGGCAAACATTTTGGTCTACTTTATACCCCTGTAGGCTCAGGGGGAACCGAGATACAAAAGTTGGTGGCCGGCCGGGGGGGCTACGATCCGCGTAAGGGCGTACCTTTTAGCGATTTTTCCACGCTATCCATTTCCAAACCACCCTTGCCAACACCTTTAAAAATGCTCCGTCTGGGCAAAGGACACCTCGGGCCCAACACCTCGGCCTTTTTTGCCCTGTGAACGGGGTGCACTGGGGGAGAGGGGGGTCAGTGCTGTCGATAGGAATAGGGAACAGCGCGGAGGGGGCCGAGAGCGAGACACCAAAAAGAGAGGCACACAGACAAACCCCAGACCGGGATCACCCCATTTCGGCAGTCTAGAAGGGCCCCCGCTCCACCGCTTGGACCGGCTCATTTTCTGGACGGACGGCCGACACCATGGTCTCCACCACAACCCTGCTCAAGCAGGACACCAAAAAGGTAAGCACTTTAGAGCGTTTATATTTTGGCTTTTGTGGGCCCTTTATTATACTAATTACAGTATTCCTTAACTATATCGTTGGCCCAAATAGAAAAGGGATAAATTTCTATAAAAATGGTGATCTTTAGGACGAAAAAAGAACAAAAAAAGATATATTTTTCGAAGCTACTATGCATTTTGTGTCTTATATAGAATTTTCGGTCTATAGCCGCTTAACGATAGAGCTTAGGAAACTCGCTACGGTATCAATTACGTTGATTAGGGCCTTGAAATACTTAAAAAATGGAGTTCAAGTAGTTTTTTTAAGAAAACTAGACAGAATAAACAGATTTTTGCGAAAACTAGCCTTTCCTAGAAGCTATTTAGCACGAAATCGATCTAGATAAAGTATGAAATAAGAGTGGAAAATAGAAAAAACTTCAAATGGCGATTTTAACTATCAAATAAAAACCTCGACTGTTTTACTGGGGTGTTTTGTAAGAAATATTTTGAGAAGAATAACTGGATAGCGGGCTACGCGGAACCCGGAAATTCCGAAAATGCTCCTAAAATCGCATAGCCAAGTGCGAAAAAAATAGGTTCCTCGCGCGGATCTGGGCCCTTTAGAGTGGGTTGGGTCCTGCTGATGTCCCCGGGGGATCGGCGCAACTTTCCCTCTTCAGCGCCTCAGCGCCTCGGCGCCTCATGTCTCCTTTTTTCTGTGGTGCGTGCTGTGTTGTGAGACAATTTGGGGGACATGACAACAAGTGTCACTTCTCCCCTTAAACATTGTGCTTTGAGCCGCTTTTTATGCGTACGCGCGGGCTTGTTTCAGCTGGGGAGCCCCCTCGGGGACTTGGTGGGGTCAGGAGAAAAAGTTGAAGTTTCAAAGTTCCGGAAGCTTTGAGGGTTTGAAAAACGACTCTATAGTGAGATGAGAAAAACAAAACTAGGTGCATCTTTTTCCATTTTACTAGGATAATTTTAGTTATACTTTTCGTTTTTAGTTTTCGGGCCGTGCGGTGGGCTTCAAAGTTCCAGAAGTTTATCGGGTTTTAAAAATTTTTTTAAGGAAACTAGAAAAACTAAGTCATGTTCATATTTTGCCGTTTTACTGGAAGTTCTGTCTACATTATATTCGCTATTTCATTATTTTTAGTTTGTTCACGTACGCACGTGAAAAACTTGAAAACTTCAAAGCCAAAAGTTTTCAGCCAGTTTACAGTTATTCAATTAAATGAGAAACCTTCCTTTCGCCCCGCCAATTTCGTATTTCCATATTGCTTACTACGGAACCTTTCGTCACCCTGAACCGATTTCCGAACAGCCCTTTTCCCTTCCAAATTCCGGCGCCATATCGCCAGTTTGTTATCACACAATCCGTGGGGGAGCACCACTTTTCCAGCGCAAGAAACTTTGCCCGGTTCCCCGGTTCCCACCGTTCAATTGCCCCGGTCCGGCTGATTACGACCAAAAAGATGTTGAAAAAGGAGCAGGACAAAGAGCAGCCCCGGCTAGACGCTGTGGTGGTCGGATGATGCCCTAAAAATAGTTATCCCCCCCTGTAATCGTATAAATAATGAAACACTGTTGTCGAGCCCTGGCTTTGGTCGGTTAGGGTGGTCTTTGAAAAGTTGGGGGCATCAACAGGTTAGCAAAGCGTCCGCGTCAATATGTACTTTGCGTTAGGTACGTGCGTTTTAAGGAAAAGGTCTAAAAGTCGTGACAACTTTAGTAAATTATTGCGAAAAGGTAATTAAAAATTTGTTTCGCTAGCGGTTTTATTTTTTTTTCAAAAAACAAAGCTTGATGCTCTCAAATTCCGGGCTTTTTAGAAGTTCTTACGTTCAACGTATTCTCTGGTTTTTCTATTTCTATAAATAAAAGATTTTTTTGAATCGTTTAACCTTAGAAACAATTCCCATTTCAGGTGCAACAAAAACTCCCGACGATCGACGAGATCAAGGCGGCCATCCCGGCGCAGTGCTTCGAGAAGGTATCTCGGTTTTTTGGGGTTTATCTATTTTTT